TCTCTACTAAGAGGTCACAGGTAATAAATAAAGCCAGTAATGGGAGAGATGAAGTGGGGTGATGTAATGAAGAGATATCAAGGGGCTGTAGCTTAGGGTGGTCAAGGAGGTCCTCTCTGAGGAGGTGACATTGAAGATGCATCCTGATCATAGGAAGAAGCCAGCAGGACGAAGGCAGAAAAGAGCATGACAGACAGACAGAGAGCCAGGGCAACGCCCTGGGCAAAGGAGGAGATTGAGTGTTCAGCAGACAGAACAGCTGATGGGGCCAGGACCTGGGAATTGAGAAGCAGGTGGAACAAACTGATGTGCTGGGGGCAGCGAGGATCGTGGATATGGATTCTTGCAGGCAGCATCAAGAAGTTCAAGTGCAGTGGGGAGCCCTCGAAGCAGAGTAGGGTTCTACTAGATTCTGGCTTTGAATAGGCCATTCTGCACACGCTTTGTGGAGAATGCACTGTTAGTTGTTGGAGCCCCAGCCCTGCTCTACAAAGGGCTAAGCATCATAAATTTCCCCACTGTGCTGTCTGAAGGCAGGAGGATGACCGAGCTGACCTCTTGCTCCCCTGTCAGCACCGCTGATTCACGCCACAACTGTGCCCCAGGGGGGACTTCTGTGGGAATGCAACATCTGGGCTGTCAGAGCATCTGAGGAATTTCTGGAAACCCAGGCAGGGCCCCACTTGAGTGACCAGGTGGACTCTGGGGAAACCTGTGGTGTTGTCCACAGAGAGTCTTCCCAGGCTGCTTGGCCAAGGTTGGCCAACAGGTCAACGAGCTTGACCCTTGTGTAGTCACTGGGCACAGAGGCCGTGAGTGGGCAGCAATTCCAGAATGGAGCAGAGGCCTCTGACCCCAGCCTTCTCTCTGGCCTCTGTCTTGTCCTATGGAAAGGACCCCCTCACCACATGCAGATGCCCCAGGTCTTCATGGAGCACTCCTTAGAGCTACAGGGCTGGGCGGTCGTTTCAGACAATTTTAGCAACAGAATCTTGTTCAGGTAGAAAGGAAGTGAGAACCTGAGTTCACAAAACAGATGAAAACTTGACCTCCCTACTTGGAGCCAGGATGCACTTCCCAAGACCACTTCATCCTTCTTCGACCTCACTCACCAGCAACTTTGGGACAGCCCCTTGTGCTCTCTGGCCTCAGTTTCCATCTCTGTCAGTGAAGAGCTGAGCTGTGTGGTGTCTCCTCACCCCACCCTTCCACAGGGACCCCCTCATGCTTGGCAACAGAGCTCATAAGAAAGCCTTCAGGAGCTCCCTGCACACACAGAGAGAGAGACAGATGGCCCACATTGCCCACCACAGCAGGTATCAGGGAGAGGAAGAGCAGGGATGGGACCCTCAGCTACTGCCCAAATCCTAGATGACAAGACAGTAAAATGCAAAGAGCCACCACCTCTATTATGGCGGAATCTTCTCTGGAATGGTTTATTCCTTTCCTAAGTAGTGCCCCAGGAACTAGGTGGGTGCTGTAGTCTCCTCATGCCAGCCCGTCTGAGGCAGGGTGTGGCCTCCCTCAGGGCCAGTGTCCAGCTCTGGCACACACTCTGCCTGAGATAAGATCAGGTCTCCCCCAGGCCTCCGTCCCCCAACAGTTAATGCAATTTTTCTTCCTGACTGACAATAGGCACAACACCAAAACAGTCAACTATTTTTATCTCCGGATTAATCACAAAAAGGCTAACGCTTCCACCTTCCTTGTGATTAAAAATTAGGAGACCAAACGCTATAGTGGTTCAGGATAATAACCAATCCTGGGAGGGGGATGTATGAATAATGCATCTCCAGGCTCGGGCTGCTCCACAACTTCCTCCCCTCCCAGCTGTCCCAGCCCTGGGCCCCAGTCTGAATGGAGAGGTAATGAGTTGCCCCCGCCCCCCATCTGAGCTACAGCTGCCAAGAGTGACTGTTGATTTCTATTCAGCTGGCTGGTCCCTAAACATCCTCCTTCCTCACCCATCCCCACCCCCACCTGCCCCAGCCCCTACCCACACCCTCCTACCCCCATCTGGTGTGCAGCGAGGCGAAGGCCAATCAATAATGCATGGCTACATGAATAACCAGCATGATAACCACTTATTTGGGAAGATGTAATCAGGACCCATTCTGAGGGTGGATGTTTGTGTGTGTGAATGTGTGTGTGTTCGCCTGAGAACTCCCACAACAGCCCCCACTCCCTTCTCCCCTCATCCGCACTCCCTCTAATCCAATATCCCTGAAAGACAACACTAGAGAAGCAAGAAGAAATGGCTGAGGCCTCACTGTTGGGTTTGGGGGGAAGACCCCTCCCTCAAGCCTTTACACCTTGATCGGAGTAGTATAGTTCTATGCACCTGAGCAAAAAGCCCAGAGAAGATTGGTTCTCAAACAAGGTCACATATGGGGATCATGGGGACCCGCACCTGTAATCCCAGCAGCTTAGGAGGCTGAGTCAGGAGGATCCCAAGTTCAAAGCCAGACTCAGCAACTTAGCAAGGCACTAAGCAACTCAGTGAGACCCTTTTACTAATTAAAATATCAAAAAGGACTGGGGATGTGGCTAAGTGGCTCAATTCCCAATAACTGCCTCCCCCACCAAAAAAAAAAAAAAAAGTCCTAATGCTCAGGGTCCACCTGCAGAGACTGGGATCTAGTTGATCAGAGTGCAGCCTGGCAGCAGGATTTTTGGATAGTCTAACAGGCAGCCAAGCCTTTGAACCCATCTCAGACCCAAAAGATGTCGATGCTGGAGAGAACTTCCCACGTCCTCTGTTGAACCTTCACATTTTATACTTATAGAAAACTAACACAGGGAGGAGCCAGCCTTCCTGACATCTTCCTGAAATCCATATCCCTTGGTTCATCACTGGGGAGGCTGAGGAGACGAGGCTGGGCCAGTTCATTCTGTTCCAGAAGCTCCAAGTGGCTCTTCCCTGGCCCCCAGCAGCTCAGGTGTGACTCTTCCTTGAGGGTGTCCAGTGGAGGCAGGGTGCTGCCATCACAGATAGAAAGGGCAGTGGCCCTGGCCTTGTGCAGGATGAGGGCTGGATTCTTCTCCAAGTCCCAGCTCTCCCTGCTGGAAGGACCCACCCCATCGCAGGCAGATGAAGTCCTTCTGCTGGGCAGCTAGTCCACAGCCATTGATGGAAAGCCCTCATTAGCCTCCTGGCTGCTCGGCGGCCACGCCCACACTAAGGAGTCCTTGGGGGCTAATGAGAGGTTTGGGGTGGGCGAACATGGGCTGTGTCCTGCCCAAACCCGCCTGCTTCCTCTGAACCTGGCAGCTCCAGGCTCCCCTGGGGAGGTCTGGCTTAGAACCCAGGCCAGGCAGCACTGGACTAGGCTGACTTCCTTCCCAGGCCAGGATCCCTGCAGTCCTGGGCTGGCAGCCAGGGGATCAGTGGTCCCGTCTTGGGAGCCCTTGGGGGTTGGTTTCCTCAAGAAGTGGCACTGCTGGGTTGTTAATGCCAGGTCAGTCCTCTTCCAAGGCCGGGCAGGGAGCGGGTGAACAACCAGCCTAAAGGTTTGATGCTTTGGATACTGATCTGGCCCCATGTGGAGCCCTCCCAGAGGTTTTAGAGAAGCCAGAGTAGACGAAAAGAAGAACCAATAGCTGGTGGCTGGCAGGGAGATGCCCCCAGAAGACACGGCAGGTGGGCAAACTCTGGGAGCCACCCTGAGGACTGATGCTGGAAAACACAGTCCCCCATGGAGAACTCCCAGACCCACAGCCACAAGCACAGACTCTCTCAGACTCCAGGTGGAAGGACGGCCTTCCTCTAACAACTGAACAGGAAGATCCTTTGTGCCAGGTCCCCAAGCCCCAGTCATCCACTTACCCCTTCATTCACTGAGCACACACACAGCTCACACCTCTATTGTGTCAGGGGAGACCCTGAGCCCCTCCTACACTCCAGAGCCAACTGACCCAGTCCTCCAAGTGGAAGGGAGAGAGGTTCCTCAAGAAACAGTGGCTTTAGGTGGTCTCCAATGAGCCCTCCCCTTTCTGTGTCTTGTCCAGGGAGAAACAGAGTCCTGAGACCCTCAGTGTGTCCATGAGCACAGTGAAGGAGGCTCTGTGTCTTTAGACAAGTCACTTGACTTCTCTGGGCCTCTTCTCTAAATGATAAAATGGTCCACCATCAAAACTGCTCATCCTATAGCCCATAATGATCATGAGACCAAAGGTGTGACTCACCAGAGTTAGCAAATGTCAGTTGAGCACAGGGACTCTTCACAGTGGGGCACTGCAGTGCTCTTCTTCTCCTGGCATTCTGGATCCCTTGGTGGGGACCTCCAGTCTCCAATCATGCTACCAACCCAGTCACCAATCATGAACAGTGGAAAATTCAGGGCAGGAGAGACTCATTCTGACCCTGGGGATGCTCAGCCAATGCCAGGGTTGCATAGTGCCTTGGAGAGCTGCCCCCACCCTGAAGCATTACCTTGTCACCTGTCCCTTGCTAGGGAAGGGACCAGCCTGAACTCCAGGGGTACGGGCATAGCTTCCAGCCCTGGCTCTGCCAGGTATTGGCATTTGCTGTGTGATCTTGACCAAGTCGCTTAATCCTGCTGAGCCTTGGTTCCTGGATCTGTGTAATTGGGATAATAGTGTTTGCTTTGAAAGACTGTTGTGAAGACTAAATCAGAGACAGGTGGGATAGCACTCTGGTTTTTTTTAAAAAAAAAAAAAAAGTTAAAAAAAAAGAAACCATAGATATGTCTGGGCCACACCATTCTGCTTCCAAATCTAAAAGACTAAGGAGGACACCTGCCACGTCCCTTCATGTGCTCATCATGGACCAGACGATAAACTGACATGTCCTCTGCAGATATGCATGTGTCAGGAACGACTGCTGTTGGTGCAGCTATTGTCATAATCCATGGGATTTTGTTGATGATTTGGTTAATCATTGTTTCTCATCTTCCCCACAGGACTCACCCAGCCAGCTACCCCGAGGGAAGGAGGAAGGGGCTGCCCCCAGCCTAACTTCTCTGCTCCTCTTTCCACAGTGCCACCTGATGACCCCGTGATCCTAGGGGGGCCTGTGATCAGCCTGCGGGCAGGGGACCCCCTCAACCTCACCTGCCATGCAGACAACGCCAAGCCTGCCGCCTCCATCATCTGGCTGCGAAAGGGAGAAGTCATCAACGGGGCCACCTACTCCAAGGTGAGCCAGGGCGGGGAAGGACAGGGAGGGCTCAGAGGCAGAGAGGACAGCTCTCCCTGTCTCTCTGCAGCTAGCTCGCTCTCGCTCTCGCTCGCTCTCTCTCTCTCTCTCTCTCTCTCTCTCTCTCTCTCTCGCTCTCTCCCTCCCTCCTTATCTCTCTCTGCATGTTTTCTGTCTTACTCTGCTTCTTTCTCTCTCTCACGCCATGTCCCCCCCACCCCACCCCACCCCCACCTCCCAGCCACTAGTCTGTCTCTCTGTCTCTCTCTCTCTTTCCTAAAGCAATTGTTGGACAAGGTGAAAACCCTACAGTAGGGTATGGTCAGAAGAGGAGACTCATGGACAGAAGTGACCAGGGTCTAGGGCTGCCAGGCTGTCCTTGCAAAGCCCATAGGTTTAATTCCTACCCCTAAGGGATGACTTAGGAAGGGGGACCTTTCAGAAGTGGCTAGGTCACAACAGTGGGGTCCTTTTGAATACGATTGGTGCCCTCACAAGAGGCCCAAGGGGTACCTCTTGTCCTTTCCACCATGTGAGGTCAGAGTGAGAAAACTACCATACAGGAACCAGATGTCTGGCCCTCTCCCTACTCTGAATTACCTTTGTCTTAGACTCCCCAGCCTACAGAACTGTCAGAAATAAGATTCTGTGGTTTACAAGTCACCTAGTTTATGGTATTCAGCTACAGTAGCCTAAATGGACTCAGAAAAAAAAATGCCTAATTTAATTTCAATTTCAGAAAAACAATAAGTAAAATTTTAGTTATAATTATGTCCCAAATAAGTATTGCATGGAATGTATTAATGACTGATGATTATGCTGAAAAATAATGCACTGTTTATCTGAAATTCAAATTTAACTGGGCATCCTAGACAACTGGGCATCCTAGACTCGGGTTTGGCTGATCTGCATATCAAAGGAAGTTGTTAGTGAGTTAGCTAATCCTAGGGCCCCAAACTGTCAAAACATTGTCACACATGGCAGGATCATATCCCTATCCCAGGGCTGCCAGGTAAAGAGGTTCTGCCCTGTCCAAGATTCCTGACTCAGGAGCTATTTTTAAAAACCAGTGGGAGCTAGTTTTTATAAAGTACTCAAGATTTGATTTTGTTTGGGTATCAAGTGTAGCCCAGACCCACTGAAGTTATTCAAGTTGTCCAAACCTAAACCTGCTCTGCTGCCTGCCTAACCCTGCCCCACCCATTCCTTCCCACACAAGCCAAGACCAGGCTCAGCTCCCCTCCCTCCCTCCGCCCCTGAATGACCCTGCTTCTTCCCCCATGTGACCCTACCTGGCATGTTGTGGCATGACATGCCCCCTCCTCTGGGGAACTGTGAGTAATAAACTTTCTATTCAATGGCAGTGACCTCCTCTTCTGTTGACCTCACTATACCTGAATAAATACAAAATCCTAAGTACTTTTCAAACAGCCCCATCCAAACTTCCCTCCAGGAGACTGCATAGATTCTCTTATAGGCATAATATACATGGAACCTTTCGGATGAAGGGACCTTAAAGGATGGGGATCTAAGCTTTTCTTTCTAGGGACAGAAAATTGCAAGGAATTATGTCCTCTTCTTAACTGTCCAATGGCCAGCATCAGGATGAAGCCACAGTCTCCTGACACTCAGGCCTGTCTCTTTCCTGGGTTCTTCCCCGATACCCTCCAACAGATGGGCAGCCACCCCACAAGCCCACCCAAAAGTTGTGTCAGGGTCCTTGGCCTCTGAAGCTCTCAGAACCCCAGTGCTCTCCTCCACAGCCTCAGAGAGTGGGGAGGTGCTCGGCTTGCTCCCCAGCCCCAGCCCACCCCTGGCTCCTCTTCATGGATCCTGGAAAGAGAAGAAAGGCTTTTGCCATCAGCAGAGGATATGAAGCAAGGCTGTCCCTCCTCTGAGAATGTGTCCTTCCCATCCAAAACTGACCACCCTGCCAAAGGTTCATGCCAGGGCTGCTGATCAAAGCTTGGCTGCCACTCAGAGCCGGCAGCCAGATCCTAGGACCAATGCCTTCTCCCGGGCACAAGTCCATAGGGGAAAGCTGCCTCTTGGGAGATAAATCCTCTGTTCGCATCCTGGGCTGGAGCCACCCTATTATATTATGAAATACAGAAATATGACACGGGGAATAGATCATCCAGAGAAGGAGGGGGTGGGTTGGAGGGGGTGTTCCTTCCAGTGTGGGTGCCGGTTCAGTCCCTCCCTGAGGCTGGGCCAGCCTGGCCCTCCCAGGGTTTGTGTCCTACACAATCTCTTCATGTGGTCATGAAGCCCAGCCCCAGCCCACCTCTGTGCAGAATCCCAGGAAGGGAATGGCAGCAGGTGGCCACAGAAAGCCACAGGAGGCAGCAGGGCCAGGTTCACTCCCTGCACTGCAACCTCAGGAAACTCACTCCCTGGGCTCCAGTTCCTCATCTACAAAATGAAGGGTTGGATCAGACACCCTGGAAAGGTGCTCCAGTTCTGGCAAGCTGCAGATCTATAACTTAGAGCAAGCTGAGAGAGGCAGAGAGTACAGCAGGGGTCATGTGGTGTGGGCTTTAGGGACTATCAGAGTGCCCTCCCACTCTTCCCCTGCAACACCTGGCTCTCTTCCCTCCCAGAGCCTTCCAGACTTCAAGGTCCATTATCATAGGCCAAACACTATGTCTGATTTCCAAAGGCAGAGCAGCTCCAGAGGAGGGGCTGGGGGATCAAAGGATGAGAGAGAGAGAGGAGAGAGAGGAGGGAGAGGAGAGAGAGAGAGAGAGAGAGAGAGAGAGAGAGAGAGAGAGAGAGGCACAAGTACACACAAAGAAAGCAGGCTCAAAGGTCCACAGAAAAGATCCCTCAGGGCAGCTGGCAGCTCTCCAGTCTGAAGCCCTTAGCTTTATTGCATGGGTCATTGTAAAGCCTGTGGGCACAGGAGCTGGGTGGTCTGAACTTGAATCCAGACTCTGTCACCTTCTATCCTCCCTGTGCCTCAGTGTCCTTGTCTGTACCATAGATGCAACAACACCACCCATCCCATGTCAAAGAATGGTTTTAAGGATTGAACAAGAATCACCTGGCAGAGTAAGTTAGCATTAAGCCCAGCTTGTGAGACTATCACCTGTCCTTCACGGGATTCTCACAGGCCCTGGGATCCACCTGGACACCTGCATTCCCTAGATGCTGTGTCAGTGTCAGAGTGTCAGAGTACAGTGGGCCACAGGGTCCTACAAACCCGGTTTCAAACCTGAGCTCCATCACATATTAAGCTTTCTGCCTCAGTTTCTTCAACTGAAAATGGAATGATATTAATCACAAACACATGTTAATGTTGCCGAGGGATTTGAAATATGCATTGAGAAGACCTTGTAAAGAGCATGGCAAGGAGTAAGGGCTCTATAAATATTTGTATTATTATGGGCTCCCTTCCCCCAGAGCCTGCATGCCCCAACCTCAGCTCCCCAGCTCCAGAGATCAGACAATTGTAAAAATCATAGCTATCATATTGGCTTCGTTTTCATAAAAACCGGTCCTGGTTTCAAAGTCCCCAGATTGCTAGTCAATTCTGCTCTTCCACCATGTGACCAGCAGAGGAAGGAAGGGCCTCATCCCTGCAGGACACTAAGCCCTTTCCCAGGAGGAGGCCTGGAAAAAGAAGGTCCTCTGGCCCTTTAACCAACCCAGGCTGGTGGATGCTTCTCCTGTGTGGTCTGGGGATGGGACAGGCTGCATGTCTGGGCAGTGGCTTTGGCACCCTCCATGTCTCTTCCAAGACACCTAATCCCAGGCATGTGGGACAGCCAGGCTCCTTCCTTTTTCCTCCTGCTTCTCAGGGCCTGATATGAGAATGGAGGTCACATGACCTTCATGTGGAAAGCCAGCAAATCCACAATCCTAGAGGAAGAACAGACGATGGAAAAGGAAGGAAGAGAATGGGCTAAGTCCGGAGGGAAACCTCCCCCATTCCCTGGGAGTTAGCTTCCCGCCCTACCTGCTATTATCCAGGTAGAGGACTAGGCCTTGACCCTGGTGTAAGGACCAGCCAGGCTGGAGAGCCACTTGACCTGAGGTACCATCTTCCAGTGCTACCTCTGTTTCCTCCAGCTTCAAGCCTCCTGCTTGTCCCCAGAGGCCACTCGCCCGCCCACCACTGGCCTCCATTGGCCCCAAGCTTAAGCTGCTCAGAAAAGGGGTGAAGACTCGCAGCCCCCAGGCCTCTCACTCTCCATTAAGCAACCCTCGCCATCTGTCACCCCATCACCCTGTTTCCCATCTGTCCAGCTTAAGGCCTAGAGCCTCTAGCACACCTGAGTCATGTGGCAGCCACTTGTCCTAGCCTCTTCTGTGAAGAGCATCCCTTCTGGCTCTAGGGCACAAGGCTGGATGCAGGGTCTGGGGCAAATGGCCCTGTGCAGTGCTATACCTTACCCATACATACAGTCCAAGTGACAATGGGCCCACATGGATCCCCAAGCAGCCATAACCAGGGAAAGCAGAGGGTGATTAAAAAAAAAAAAAAAAGGGACACAGCAGGTGGGGGAGGTGAGTGGGGAGGGAGAATAGAGGAGGCCCTGTTGCCAGGCAATCAGGCCTGCTCAGGGCCTCTCCAGGCAGTTTGCATATCAATGAGCAGCCCAGATTTAGTACCAGGGTTGGGACACCCACACACTGCATTTCCTCCAGGCTGCCCATATCTGAGGGCTCAGCCTGCTCTCCACTGCCCACTGGGAGGCCTGGTGGCTTTGGAAGGAGCAAAGCAGCCACTGCCACCCACACTAGGCAACTGCCCCAAGGGTATTAATCTGCCCCCACAGTCCAGCCTCCCAGATCACTACTGGGAAACCAGAGAGATAAATGTCTCCTGGGTGACCTCAGGGATCAGTGGGAGGGTGGGTGCACAGGTACATGTAGGCAGACAGGTGAAGGACAGAAACCCAGCCCTGAAGAAATATACCCTGGCATGCTCATTTCTGGGCACATGATATATGTTCTGCATGGTGTGTATGCTGCACATGCGCCAGCCAGGGTCCATATTTATGCATGCACATGGACCCCCCAGGAATTGCCATCACAGTCACATGAATCAGCCAGGGCAGCTAGGAGGCTGGAGACTGGCAGCACATTAGCACCCATGGAGCTGGAGGGAGGTCTTGGAGGGAAGCTGTGGCCCCAGAAGCTAGTGACTTGCAATTAATAATTCGCCCCCACCCCTGGGTGATTTGCATGCTAGTGGAGGTTTCTGAAGTCCAAGGTGGGGGGGCTCAGTGTCTGAGGTGTATCCCCAGAGCAAGTTCAGTGAGGGGAAGAGATTAAGGAGGGGGAGGCGAGGGGCACAGGGCTAGAAGGGGCGGGAGAGTGGGCTGTGAGGAGAATCAGCAAATGATAGAATGTTCCACCTGCAAGATACCTTCAAGGCCACCAAGTCCCAAGGCTTCATTTGCATATGAGAAAAGTGCCAATCAGGGGAGATTTATAAAAGAGAAATGAAGCAAAAGAAAAGAAAGAAGACAGGAGAGGTGAAAAGATCAAGAAGAAAAGAGGCAAGGAGAAAACCCGGGTACAGATCGGGTAGCCTGGGGGCTCGCCTTCTCCTTGCCTTCTCCTTTGTTTAATGAACACATCTCCCTTTTTCTCTAATTAGGTGAAACAAACAACTTGAACCAGAATTTGTATTTCCCAGAAAGCACACGCCCGGACACAGTAAATATGTCATTAATCATCATTCCCAGGCAGAGGAGCAGCTGGGCTGGAGAGGAGGGGAAGCAGTCAGAGGACCTAATTAGAGCCCAGCCTCCCTGCCCCCTCCCACTGGCACCCACACACAGGCTCCCTGCCACCATGCCCAGAGTCCAGCAACTGGAGGTGGGGGTCCCCAGGCAGAGTCAAAGTTATATAAATATCCCTTGTTAGCACCTCAGAAGAAAGGAGGTGAGAAGAACAATGCAGTCCCCTCCTCCGCTCCTCCCCTCACCCCACCCCCAGGTCTTATTCTCATCCAGGAAATTGTTCTTATTATCACTTAGCTATTTATAGTCACAGTGAGGTTTGCTGAACAGCCCCAAGCCAGCCTGGTGCTGTGGTGCTGGCTCTAGCTGGGGGATAAATTATATGCCCTCCAGATATTTTTTGGACCTCAGTCAAGCACCCTGGCTCAGAGGCTGACCTGAAGACTCTGGCCCTGTGGGCTGTTTGGCCTGATCCCTTTGTCTGCTAGGACTGGCCACATCCTTCTCCTCTGGTCCCTGTGCCCAGGACCAGTGCCTCCCAGTAAAGAAAGTGCTGAGTCCTCAGGCCACCAAGGCCTGGCTGGTGTGCAGTATAGGAGAAAGTCCAGAGCTAGTGCCCTGTGGCTCTCCCTAGAATGTCATAGTCTGGCTTGGCCCAAAGCAGGATGTGTTGTTTTGTTGTTGTTGTTTAATTTTGAAATCAGGGTCTCAATAGGTTAACCCAGGCAGGCCTCAAATTTGAGATCCTCCTGCCTCAGCCTCCCAAGTTGCTGGGATTGCAGGAATGCACCACTATACCCAGTGATGCATTGATCTAGGCTGAGGCTCAGGCTAGGTTCTCCTTGTCCCAGAAGTCACAAGCTTTGCCCCGTGTTGAGAAGGATCACCCCAAGCTGAGACTAGATTCCAGCAGCCCACAGATTTCTGCTAGTTACCTCAGTAGCCATTCTCCTCCAGAGTACTGAATCAGTAATTGTTTCCACCTGCAAGGCCCAAGTTATAGGAACTGACCTCTGGCATCTCAGGAGGCTGGATGGGGTCACTCATTCTGAAATACCAGTCTACACTCTGCCCAGTAAGTTCCTCTTGCTCAGTTTTCTCTTGCAAAATAAAGATAATGCTCTTGAGAATGAGAAGCAACCCCATTGTTATTTCTTGGGAGGTTTTAAGGAAGTAGAGTCATCTATTCCCTGGCCCCAACTGGGGCAAAGCACGGCTGCTTCCAGTACCTCTTCCAAAGTGAAGTCCCTCCCAGGATGAGACTGAAAGTCTTCAAAAGATGAACAGACTCCAGTTTCTACCCTCCCACCCAGACACCCTCCCCAGCATGTGACTCCCTTAATGGGCCCCAAACTGATGGGAAGGTAGCTAGAAAGGGGAACAGGGGAGGGCAGAAGGTAGCAGCCCTGATGAGAGAACTAGGGACAGAATGGCATTTTGATCCAGTAGGAAACAGCAATGGCCCCAGAAGAGTGGGGACCAATGGCTTTAGGACTTGTCTTGGTTTCCAAGAGCTTCCATAACAAAGCACCACACTCTGGTACTTAAAACAGCAGTGCTTTGTTCTCTCACAGCTGTGGAGGCCAACAAGTCAGAAATCTGAGGTGGCGGCAGGCTGTCCTGCCTTTCAAGTATCTAGAGAAGAAGGCTGTCTGTCTCATCCAGCCCCGGCGGCTCCTCTTACATGTGGCAGCATCATTCCGATCTCTGCCTCTGTCTTCACATGGTTGCCTCTGATTCTGTGTCATCTGCTCCTCTCAAAAGGACAGTCATTGGATTTAGGGAGGACCCTCCCTAAACCCAGGAGGATCTCATCTCCAAACCTTAGAGATTAATAAGTACTTAACTAATCTGCAAGGCCCTATTTCCACATGGGATCGTGTAAGTTTCTGGGTAGACATGAATTTGGGGATACAGTTCAACCCACTGCACGACCCTAATCTTTATGTCACTACCAACATAAAGTATGAGTTTAGTCAAGTCCTGTCTCCTCTGTTAATTTCACCTGTTTCCTCCCCAGTCAGATGGAAAATAATGATATCTGTCCTGCTATGATTTGGTGGAGGCTCTAATGAGATAGGGAAGGGAAATGGTTTGAAAAGACAAAAGGGAAATAATTAAAAGTGGATGTGCATTGATTCTGCCTACATCCCTACCCTGCTCTGTCCTTGCCTCCATGCCCCCAGTCGCATCCCCTTCTGCAGACCGCAACCTTTCAGGGGCCACAAGCAGCCGCCCATTGCAAACTACCTCCTTGCTTTTCGCACAGACCTAAGACTCACCCTGACACCAGAGGCAAAATAGATGTCAGTTCATTTCTACATAAAACCTACTTGAAGCCTGATTTCCATTAGCCCCAGCCTGATTTCTTTTGTGCTTTTAGCTTACAAGTCCAGGCCGATTTTCACGCATGATAATAATATTTCTAGTTGCTTTTTCCTTCCACACCCCAGCACTCATGCCAGGGAACCAAGAGTAACCTCACCCCCAGCTCTGCAGAGAGACTGAAACCCTGGTCTCCTGAGCTGACCTACACACCCACACACTCCATCACTGCTCTCTCTTCTCCTCTCTGAGCTGGGCCCTGAGCCACCCAGGCCAACACAGCCCAGTGACATGGGGCCTTCTGTCCCTTTTCCCCCTCCTCTTCCAGACCCTGCTTCGAGATGGCAAGCGTGAGAGCATCGTCAGCACCCTCTTCATCTCCCCTGGTGATGTAGAGAATGGACAGAGTATCGTGTGCCGTGCCACCAACAAAGCCATCCCTGGGGGGAAGGAGACTTCAGTCACCATCGACATCCAGCGTGAGTACTGACCAGCCCCACCTGGCCTGGCCAGGCCCGGGATGGGAAATATCTTGTACCCCTGCCCACAGCTGGGGCCATCTGAAGGCAGAGGATGGGCCAGACAGCTCTGTGGATTGGCCAGTTTGTGTGAATGGGCACAAAGGACTATCTTGTTCTTATTGTCATGTGAAGCACAGATGAGAGTCCTCTGCAGAGGGCATCTTCGAGTCACTTTCACATTATATATCCACGTCAACAAACTGTCAGCAGCTGGCCCCACTGGCCTGCTGGAAAGGGAGCCAAGGCCAAGATGCTGGGAGCTGACAGGCACTCAGGGTCCAGAATGGGTCATAGCCATGTGCCCTGGAGAGGATCTACAGAGCCGCTCTCATGCAAGGGTTGGTCAAGGGGATAAGAGGAAGAGGAAGAAGGACGGGTGTTCATTCAGCTCATGCTTTACATGCATTGTCTCCTTTAGTCCTTACAACAGCACTTGGAGGAAATATGATTGTGGTCCCTAACTGGGGAGAGTGAGGCATCAAAAGGTTGGTTAATTTTCCCAAGGCCACAGAGGGGGACAGGCACCTGAGCTTTCCAGAGCCCACCCTGATAGCCCAAATTCTATACTCTGAGTCAGCCTTCAGCAGGTATGGCTATTACCGTTGATATCAACAATCACATGCTGTTAAGATCCACCGGCATCACATCCCAAAAGCCACCTAAAGGAGACCCCTAAATGTCCCCTAAAAAATCCCCCTAAAGTGCCTGTAAGCCCCCCGAGCTCGACAAGGCCTTTCTCACAGGACCAGTATAGGGTAGGTTTAAAGTATCATCCCTCAAAGGTGGACTTCTCCCCTCTCAGATCCCTCCCTGCCGTGGAACATAATGCCACTACATGCTGGTGACCTAGCCATAGTTGGTCATAGACTCTGAGTGACATGGCTGGAGTTGTAGGGTGGCATTCATGGTCTCCTCAGCACTTCACTCATTTTTGAAGAAATGCTTTACAACACTTCCTGACAGCCCTGACTTGTCTAAGGGTTCTTGACTCTGAGCATCATGTGGCTCCCCAGGGATGTGGAGTCCACAAGAGCTGTGCCTTAGGATTTCTAGAGCCTATCTTGGCATCCAGAGAGCAGAAGTTCCTCCCTCACTGCCAGCATCCTGACCCCATTTAGATTCCAGAGAGAGAAAGAAATGGTTATAAACATCAGGAAGGTCCCAATGCCTGGAGAGAATGGTGGAGTTCTTGGGAAGGCTTATCTTCACTATCTTGCCAGCAACTAAAAATCCCCTTGACCCCACAATTCACACCCCAGGGCTACTTCTTCCAGTTACTCTTCATTAATGAGAGTAGAGAGCAGCAGAGCTCTTGCTGAGCCTAAGGCAGGAAGCTAGAGGGAGGTGCCTAGAGCACAAAATTTAAGAAGGCCTCCCTTGATGGTGTAAGTACAGAGTGGGTCCTGAGAGGGAGGGCCTCCTTCAATTTTGCACCTGAGGTTCCTCCATTTCTTGGCCCTAGTCCTGCCCTGGCTCTCAGCACCACCTGCTTCTGTCCCAGTGAACTGGGGTTTGGAGCACAGGCCCAGCTCTGAGAGGAGGCAAGATGCTCTTGGGCTGGACAGTGTGACAGCCAGAACAGCTCCACCACTCCCGAGCTTGGCAGGCCTGAGCTTGTCAATCTTCACATCCCACCCCCAACTCGGGTTTCTTGTCTGATCTGACCAATGATGTCTCTAGGATTGACCATGAAGAAGAGCTCGCTCTCTCTAGACAAAAGCCAGATCTGGGGGAGGCACAAGGTATCCAAGCCCCCGAATATCTGTGGCCACTTCATGGAGCCCCTGATCTCCTTCCCCCAATCCTGGGCAGGAGACCTATACCAGCTACAGAATCCCATACAAAACCGACAACCTAGCTGACTCTCCCAGGACAGCAGCCAGGACCCTGGCAGGGAAGGGGGGAAGTAGCAGTGTTTCTGCTCCAGGCCACTCTCCATCACCCAGAAGAACCTCTTCCAGCAACAAGAGAGTCATCATAGTAATAGCCCACCCGGCTATTCAAAGACATCCTCTAGATGCACTCCAGCAAGAGGATCAATTTACCAGGCTGCACATGCTCTGGGGTCTGTATCAAGATGTCAAGGGCCTCTCCAGGTCTCTGGGCCCTGCCTGACTTTGCTTCCAAGGACATCTCAACTGTATCAGGAGGGAGGCATCATGACTGAGGTCAGGCTCAGAACCCTGGTCTCCGGTTTCCTGGAAGGACCCATCCAAAGCAGCACAGGGTAGTCGTTAAGGCTTGGCATTCTTCCTGGTTTGAATACTGAATCTGCCACTTACTGAGTGACACTCACCTGGTTAGTTACTCACTGTGCCTCAGTTTTCCTATTCATACATGGCAGTAGTCAGACTTACCTCCTGAGGTTGCAGTGAGAATTTCATTAAATCACTTACGTCAGCCCCTAGCACCATGCCTAACTCATTAGGAGCATTGTAGCCAATGCATTAGGACAAACAGCCACAGGTACATGGCAGCCACTCCCCAGGGAGCCCCCCCCCCAGCCCTAACAGGGGACAGGCCTTTATCCATTTGCCCCTGGACTCCATCTCCCATAACCAGAAGGTGTTTATAAGTGCCTGCCAAGCAAAAGCACAGCCTCTCCCTCAGCTCCCTCCGCCTCCTCCTTCCTCCTCCATTGATTCATTTGTTCATTCTGTAAGCGTCCGACTGTTTGCCGTGGACACCGTGGGCTGGATCAGAGCCGCCTGTGCAAACCTGCTCATTTTCTCAGTCAACCAAGAAGCATCCAGACTCAGCAAAAGCACATTTGTTGTTTGTTTCCCTTGGTCTTTATATGTTACCCAACGGAAGACAAAGCCCCCAGATTGAGTAATGGGAGAGAAAGCTTAACACTCCCAAAGCCTCGCCACATCTGGACTCCATGTCCAGCTGCCAAGTTTCAAATGGATGTGCTATAAAATCACTGAGTCATGAAGTTTCTCTTTCCCGCCCCCTCCTCCGTGTAATACTTTCCCTGAAAACACACACATACCCACATACACACACGCACGCAGGTTGATGATAGAAACACTAACAGACTCTCAGCTGTAACATCTGTTCAATGTGATCTCAGTTCCACTAGCTACATCAAAGCTGCCCTCCTGCAAGTTACGCAGCCGACATCACAAGTGGGATTAAAATCATGTTTAATAGTTGGATATGACATAAACTATTTATACTTCGGGAGCTTGGCAGACTCCTGGAAATTCATATCCTGCACATCCAGAGGAGACGGGAGAGGAATGGAGAAGGCATCTCTGAGTCTGGAGTGGAGGTGTGCAGGTAAAACTGATGTGTGTGTGGAGCCCTCCTGGGGCTGCTCTCCTGAGGCTCTTCAGGACAGGCTGGGGACTAAACATATTGCAGAAAGGAAGGGAGAAAACAGAAGAGAGGCCTCCACGGGCTAAACTGATAATGGCAGGTGTATGGTGGAGCATCAGGCAGAAAGAAGGGTCCTCCAATAGGTGGGCTCCATTCCCCTGCCTCCCAAGAACCCAACACTTTGTAAAGGACACTTAGCTAAGGGATGGGCCTTCTATCCCTCAAATTTCTCCCCTAATTCTATGGTGGGTTCCTAGATTCTATTGAAATGACACCTTCACTTCCTCAAACAAAAGCTGGTTTCACAGTATTGGAATTCATCATGTGAGGACACGGGCCAGCTGCATATTGGGTCCAAATGACAATCACCAAACCCCTATGCCTCCAGACATGCTTCTCCACAGCAAGGTGCAACCTCCCCTCTGGGTCTCCACAGGTGATCAGCTTAGCCACCAGCCCTGCATGGAAAGAGGGTCAGCTGCCTGATTCAGCCTTGCTCTCGAAGCTGGTAGGCAGCAGCTGGGGAGAGGATGTAGGATTGTCTAGGTGGGTGGGCGAGGGTCCTGGGAGGTAGAAGGAGAGTTCTCATGGCTATTCCTTGCCAGATACATCTTTGTGACCATTTGCATTATTGGTTGAAATAGCCACCTGTGTTAGTTAGCTTTCCACCACTAAAAGAAATACCTGGGATAATCAACTTATAAAAAGGAAACGTTGATTTTGTATCAGAGTTTTGGAGGTTCCAGTCCACGGTTTATTGACCCTGTTGTTTTGGGTATGTGGCAAGGTAGCATATCATGGCAGGAGAGTATGGTGGAGCAAGATGGCTCACCTCATAACCAGGAAGCGAAAGAGAGAAAGAGGAAGAAACCAGGATCCCACAGCATTCCCCACCCCCGCCAAAAGCACATGCTCAATGATTGAAATACCTCCCACTAGGGCCCGCCTCTCAAGGTTTCCACCACCTCCCAACAGTGCCTTGTAATTGCCCACAAAAAGGTAGCAGACCAGCTGCTCCTGCACCAGATGCTTCCCAGTTATGTAGTTCCCATCCTGAACTAGGAGATATTATGAGAATAGGCTTCCAACATAGGTAACTACCCACTGCTCAGATCATGGAGTTCTTTCCCCAGCATCTGCAGATCCTAACAAGTCCAGTGGACACCTCACAGGCCAACATCTATGTTCCCACACTGGCAGTGAAACATGGCACTAGCATGCATGGGGGTCAGTAGTCCTGACCTCACCTCCAGCCTTATTCCGCAGCTACAGGGTCTCAGAACCTCACCTGCCTCAACTAGGTGCCCACACCCAGTGGCCACAGTCTTTTTCCCTGTGCTTCTTTTCACAGGGAATCAGAGTGATCAGTATTTTTCTTGATGGCCTCTACAGAACTGGCTTCCTTACTTCTTTTTCTGGGCTGAAACCCCTAGCAAACCCTCATGACCTTTCACAATTTGCTTTGCGTGCTGGTGGGGTGCAGCCCAGGGTGCTGGCTAGCACGTGGGAACTGAAGTGCCCTTTAAGTCAGCCTAAAGTTGAAAGCCAGCCTGGCCTCCAGGCCGTGACAAGGGAGAGGGTCGAGCACTGGATCATGGCCTCCTCTCCCCTGGGGTGCAGATGACGCGGGGGCAGAGTCTGGAGCTATGGGATCCCAGCAGCAGGGTGACCCAGCCTGGAGGAGGTCGAGAGCAGCTGCCCCTGAGCAGGGCAGGGCCAGGCTGACATGAGGCCATTTGTGGGCTGATCTCCACCTCTCTTCCTCTCTGCTGAAGACCCCTCAAACTCTATTCCCATTTTTCCACCTCTCAAGTCTGTTTTTCCCTCTCCCTTTTCTCTATTTCTTGTTATTTTGTTTGGAGTTTCTCCTAACACCCTGTCATTTTCTGTCTCCGCCTGCTGGGTCTCCCTTTGTCTTTTCTGCTTTCAGTGTGAAATTTTCCTGTGATTATGCATCGCTGCAAATATGTCTGTCTGTCTCTGCCCATCTCTCTGCTTCTCTAGGTTTCTGTCTCCTTTTTTTACTCTTCTGCATTTCTCAATCCGTGTCTGTCAGTCTGTTGGTCCACCCATGTCTCTGTCTCCCTCATCTTTGTACCCATCCCTCTCTTTCCTCTCCCTCATCTCTGTACCTCTCTCTCTTCCTCTCTCATCCCTCCTCTCTGTTTCTGTCTGTCTGTCCCTCTCTGTAGTCTCTCCCAGGTCTCTGTTACCCTCTGTGTCTCTGTCTCTCCAACATGTCCATGCCACTCTGCTTTCCTCCCAAACCATCTGTGTAGATCTCACTGTGTCTTGCTGTTGCTGGTTCCTGTCTTCCTGTCTCTCTCCCTCTCTCTCTTACTTTCTGTCTCCTCCACCTCCCACCATTTAGCACTTCAGAGTTTGGCTTCTTATCGTGTCAAATGAGAAAACTGTAGCCCCAGCCCTGGGAGCTGAGGGACTGGTGACACCAGTCAGGACTCAGTGGAGATGATCATGCTGATGAAAGGCTGTAAATGCCACTTTCAAGTTACCAGATGCCCCAGAACCTTCACACAGAGAGAAACAAACAGACATTTCAAAGACAGGAAGCTGGTACTGAAATGGAGCTGGGGGTCCACACTCCCCCAAACCCTGCACCTGCTTCTCCTCTGCTTCCTGAAGTGTTTTGTTCTGTCCAGAAGCTGGAGGCTGGACAGAATGCTCCTGAGACCCAAACAATGGCAGCTCCCCGAGGGACATTCACTTCAATAGCAGGCCTTGAATCCACAGAGGGGCCAAGGTCCCCCCAGGACCCTTGAGGTTTGCACCTCCAGGGAGCAGGAGCCTCCTGCTGAGCCCCTCTTTCTGAAGACCTCAAGCATGGTGGCTATTCTGAGGGTGCCATATGGTGGCATCTCTGGCCTTAACCTCCTTGTGTTCCAGAGGGTCTTTCTGCCCTAAAATTCCACGCCCCCCCTCTGCCCCGTCTACAAGAGAATCTCTTCTCCCTGCAGACCCCCCACTTGTCAACCTGTCAGTGGAACCGCAGCCGGTGCTGGAGGACAACGTCGTCACATTCCACTGCTCTGCAAAGGCCAACCCAGCTGTCACCCAGTACAGGTGAGCATCACTGCGGTGGAGGCACAGCCTGACCTCAACCCCCCACCCCGTGCCTGTCACGTAGGATGTCACTTATCGTCCATGCATGGCTACCATGTGTGATTCACTGCAGGTGTCCAGATAGCCTTGTAATCAAATAACCCCCACACCCACCCACCTGCTGGCCAGGTGGACTCTTCCCTTCCTTCATGCGGCACGCATGCCTCTTCCACAGGAGGCAGGATACTGTGCCCCTCTTGTTCCAACAGCTTGGTTACTCGGTATTTCTGAAAAGAAGGAAAAAGGCTCAGGAACAAAAGTTAAAACACACCAGAAGAGTCAGGAGAGTCACTAGACTCTGTTTGACTGCTCAGGGTTCAGTGGGAGCCTCAAAACCCATGTGTTCTTGCCACAACATTGATAAAACCATCACTGTTTTTGTTTTTTTGTTTTTTGGGGGTTTTTTTTTTTAGTATTAGGGATTGAACACAGGAGACTTTTTACCCTAAGCTACATCCCCAGCCCTTTTTATTTTGAAACAGGATCTCACTCACTTGTATCTTTGCCTCTTAACAGAGCTTCTTAAAGGCAAGAACTGCAATTTAGTCACTTATGGCTCTCAGCATGTAACACAGCGCATGGCATCAAACTAGGGCTCCTTATGTGCGTCTGATGGATGCGATCTCTGAAGGCCCAGAGCTGCTCCTCTGGGAGCCTCCCCACCTATGTGCATCGCCACACAGGATTCCAGAAACTAAGTGATCTGAGAGTTTCTCAAATGCAGGCTGAGGATACTTACCTCACCTCCTTTGGATGTTCCTTTGTGATACTCACCAACGCCCTAACTCGGCCCTGTCCTTTCCCACCAGCCCGGGCTCCATGGCAGGGCCCAGGGCATCACTTCTGCACGGATTCGGTCATTAAGCTGCAGCCTCAGAAAATGCCAAGGAGGATAATGGTCTCAGTCTAGGAAAGCAGCCGGCCTTAGGAAGTGGAGGACTGGGGAGACAGGAGGCAACACAGCCCCAGCAGGCAGAAGGGAAGGAAATGGGTCAAAGAGGCAGCGGAGACTCAGGTTGCACATAAGGAACAGCTCCCTGCAGCGTGGATAATTAAGCAGCCTAGGAACAAGGAACCCAGGAAGGACATGAACCTTTCCCTAAGGACATTTTAAAATAGGATGAAAACCCATCTGTCCTGCCTGATTTAACCCTTCCCTACCCTGGATGCAGTAAGATCAGGTGACCTTCAGGGTCCCTTCCAAGCCAAGGACCCCTGGCTCCCAGAAATTGTGCAACCCATTCAGGTCCAGCAGGCAGGTCTGATATGGCTAGGGTCTGGCGTCTGTCCAGAAGTGACTTAAAGATCCAGAAGGAAAAACCAAGACTCCTTCTCTCTGAACTGTCACCCCAGGCCTGCTCTCCTCTGTCTGCTCCCATCCCTGAGTTCATGGTCCCCAAATACCAGGTGTGACATGCCCAGAAAACTCTGCTAATGCCAGTTTCCCAGGGCAGCCCCTGTCACCTAGAGAGCCCCCACCCAGGACCTACCCCTGCCCCATTCACCTTCACAACCAGACCCCAAATGACTGCTGAATCCCAGAGACAGGGACAGACAGATTCCAATTTCCACTTCTTGTCACTGCCAAGATCCCGGTCATCTGAGTATTTAGTGATCAGAGACTGGACACACAGCAGGATAAGACCCAGAAGATAGAGCCTCTGCCAGCAGGCCACCCCACACCGTGGCAGGTTATGCAAATGTGCAGGAAAGGAGGCTGCTGAACCTGACTGCCAGGGCCACCCACTTAAAAAAACAGCAAGAAGACCAATGATAATAAGGACAAGGTCATTGTAAAGCACATGTGGTCAATCGTGAAAACTCGTGAATCTAGGCAAAGAAAAGATGGCAGTTAACGGGGCTATATTGCAACTCTTCTCTCATTTTGAAAGTTGGGATTTTTTTCAAATAAAAAGTTAATAAACACACAGAGAACATACAGGTTTCCCTAGACACTAAGATCCTGTGGGATTCCCTTCCTCTCTGTCCCACTCTGGAGCTCAGGGAACCCCAAGCGAGACCCTCCTATATAAAGGAGCCCTGAGGAGCAGGAGGGGCACTAGTTCTTATTCATCACTGTCCATCATGATTAGCCAAGGGCCCTGAAAACGTGTTAGTGCAGGCTTGGGCTCCCTCCAGGATTCCAGAGGCTTTGGGGGAGCCCTCTGGCACCCAGGAAAAGGCAGGAGAGTCCGGGTAGGCTGAGCTGCAAAACAAAGGAGGTGGAAGGGCTGTGGAGAGAGGAGGCTGCGGGCACCTGCAGGCACCCGAGCCCACCCACACCTGCTCAGCCCCTCCCCACCCCCACAAGACCTCACCAAATTCTCCTTCTAGATGCAGCGTTGGAACCCAGGGGGAAAAGCCTTAAGCAAATCCCATCACATAAGTACATTGATTTTTCCCAACTGACTTTGACACGATTACAGGGATCTTTGTTTCTTTATTTTGATTCGTCTTGATTGCTTCCTCTCTGGTCTACCTAAAAGGCTGTAATCTCTGAAATTAGAGATTGGCCCTCCCCCATGCCAACATCCCAAAAGGGGCACGGCTGGGCAGAGAGGCTGTTATTTCAGCTGCCCCCAGGGACCTGGGGCGAGAGGTGCTGTGGGCTTTTTCTTTGGAAGGTTTTTCTGTGTGTCTCCAGCAGACAGCAGGATGGGGGGCTGGCACTGCCCAGACGAAGCGCAGGGCTGTTCAATGCTCCAGTGTGAGGGCTGTGACATGCCAGGCCTCCTGATTCTGTGATATAAATAATTAATCCTCTTACATTTGTTCAGACCAAATTAGACATTGATTGGGAAAGGCTTAAGCTGACTCCATTTCAGAGGGGCTGGGAGAGGCGGTAGAAGTAACAGCAGATGCACTAGAATGTTCTGACCCCCAAGAGGAAGAGGAGCCACAGACCAACAGGAGGAAAGGGAAGAGATGAGAGGGGGTGGAGGCTCTTTGGTTTCCAGCCCCATGCTATGGCTGGAGTGCAGTGGTTAGAGCCTTTGGGCTTGTGAAAAGGCCCCTCAGAGGGCTGTTTAGTGTGGGAGGGAAGAAGAGTGGGAGGAAAGACTGGCTGGACAGGCTGAGCAAGATGGGAGCAGAGGTCTCTGGTGGAGTGGAGGGAGGGGTACCGCCTCAAAAGGCCCTGGCCTTGGGTTCCTGAGGATCCTACCCCCACAGCCAGCTCCTGCTACAGCTCTGAGAGAGCCCCCTCCCTAAGGGCCCCAGTCAGAAAAGGCCTAACTTCTCCCAGAGGCCCTGGGGAAGAAAAACACCTGGGCCTGCCCATTAGACCCAGTAATCCTGGCCCCAAGCCAGCCCCAGCCTCAGCCCCAGTCCCCTGGTGCTGAAAGCAGCCAGGAGCAGGGGCCTGACTTGGGTAGAGCAGAGCTTCTTCCTGCCCTCCCCACTGCTCCAACCCCCTCGCTTCAGCCGAGTAGAAGAAATAGGGTCTGGACACAGATCCCCGACTGTGTGTCTGAAACTGAATTAATCCACCTCAGGCAGGGGCCGTGCCTGACTATTAAGTCTGGTCATTAAATTAAACTTAGGAATTGAAACGATTCATGAATAACTCATAATGGTTTGTTGGGAAGCTCCTTAAGCTCTCAGGGAGCTATGCTTTGCTCTTGTTGTTAAACCATAATTGTTATTATTAATCGTGTTCTTAATAATTACCCGATATTAATTCAAGATAACAACCGTGTGGTGCCAGCCTAGGTGTTCCATGGGATGCACAGAAGTGGTGTCTTTTGGGACTAGACCAGACTGGGCCAAGAACTGATGGAGGGGAGGGAGGAGATGGGACTCAGTAGTACCAGGAAAGATCCAAGAGCACAGGAAGGGGAAGAGAGCAGCCAGCAGCCACAGGGGAGCCGTGGCTGTAGGGCACCAAGGTGGAGGCTGAGCAGCCTCTCCAGCTTCAGAAAGACACAGCCCTAAAGCTGCCTTGAGCTACAATAGGAGGAACCTGGTTAGAAATTCTGTGATTTCAAAGAGAGGGACTGCTATCCTCAATAGGATTGATTATACCAGGAAAGCGGTGAGCTCTCTCTCCTTGGAGATCTGCAAGGAAAGGTCCCACCTTCACACACGTGCACACGCACACACATGTACACGCTCATACCCACGTGCAAAGGCTCACATGCACACACATTCTCGATGCATGCAAGCACCCTTACGGGGCTGCAGCTCTGCAGACACATGGAAGGGACCTGGTAGCTGGTCCAATGCAGCAATTGCCATCCCAGGGTCAGTCAGAACCAAGCCAAGCCTAAGGCTTTTCGGTCTCTGCCACCTCCATTCCCTGCGGTACTGATTGGCATCTGAGAGAAACCTCCTGTCTTCCCCCCCACTATGAATCAGGGTTGATGGAGATGTGACCTTGTAATAATAAAGGCAGGTGAGAGAGCAGAGGCTGCGGAGGAATCGGAGCAAGCGCCAACCCTGGGAGAGGTTGAATGGCCTTCCAGGGAGAGCAGGAGCACCAGAAGGGCCCCGCCCTGAGAGCAGGAGTCAGGACTGAGAGCTGAGAGAGGGGGGCATGTGGGAAGAGAGGGACAGGCAGGCACCTCACACCCCTCCCACATCTCACTGTGCTTGAAAACCAAACTTCCTGGGGCCTCGGTTTTCTCTGTGTGTGTAGGGACGTGTGTGTCCACATGCACACTGGTACACAGGCATGTAATCACTAGACCTTGAACTCCCAGGGCATAGATTCATACCCCTTTTCCAATGTTTCCCAGGGTAGGGCCTATGACAGAGCTCAGAGCAGAACATCCAGGCTATTTGGTGTCCAACAGTTGGGTTGTCCATGGTCTAGCCAGGCAGATGGGCTGGCCAGCCCGATAACCAAGAATAACCCACTCCAGAATAACCCCTCCCGAATAACCCACTTGTCAAATGCCACTGACTATGGCCCCAAAGCCCACCGCCTGCATGACCTATGGGAGGGTACAAGTCCAACTCCTCCTGAGCCTTTGAAATAACCCCTGTGCAGAGACAGCCCCTGAGAGAGCTGCTTTCTTGTGGGATGGGGGCATCCAGCTCCCTGAGGGATGGCCTTGCATTCGAGATGCACCCAGCACCCTGGCCTCTGTTGCAGATGGGCCAAGCGGGGCCAGATCATCAAGGAGGCCTCTGGGGAGGTGTATAGAACCACCGTGGACTACACGTACTTCTCAGAGCCTGTGTCCTGCGAGGTGACCAATGCCCTGGGCAGCACCAACCTCAGCCGCACGGTGGACGTCTATTGTGAGTACAGAAATTGGGAGCTTCTCTGCATGAGCAGAACTGGGTAGTCTCTGGCCGGAGGAACCATGGCTGGATTCATTGCATGCAACATAAACATCATGCTTCCCAAGCGTACAGTGCATTGTACTTTGCAAAAAGCTTCCTTGTCTAGGGTTTCATGCTTATTTTGATCTTCAGAATGACCCAGCTCAGACTGCTATAACAAATTACCATAGTCTGGATGACTTAAACAACAGAAACCAGAGTGCCAGTGTGGTTGGTTCTGGTGAGGGCTCCCTTCCTGGCTTACAAACAGCTGCCTTCTCACCTGTTATCACCTGGCACAGAGAGGGAAAGGGACCAAGCTCTCTTCTGTTCCTTCTTAGTTGTGGTTGTTGTTGTTGTTGTTTATTTATTTTCTCAGTATTGAGGATTGAACCCAAGGGCACTCTACCTCTGAGCTACACCCCCAGACCCATTTTTTTTTTAAATTTTGAGACACAGTCTTACTAGGTTGCCAGGCTGACTTTACGCCTGTGATCCTCCTGCCCCAACCTCCTAAATAGCTGGGAATACAGGTGTGTGCCACAGCACATGGCTTCAAGCACATTTTCTAGGGATGGTACTGCCTACTTCTTGTGGACCTAAGAAAGGCTGAGTGTGGGGGACAGGGGTCTCCTTCTCACTTCCCAATCCCAGACCCCAGGTCCAGCCCAGGTAGAAGGGTAAAGGAATGGGCCCAGTGGATTGAGATGGCCCAATACCCTGCTCTTTCCTTTCCTTCTGTCACAATGCTGGGGGCAGCAGGAGGGTTGCGGGAGCTCCCCAGCCCACCTGACGCCTCTCTTCTTCTTCCTCCCCATCATAGTTGGACCCAGGATGACCACAGAGCCCCAGTCCCTGCTCGTGGATCTGGGCTCTGATGCAGTCTTCAGCTGCGCCTGGATTGGCAACCCGTCCCTCACCATCGTATGGATGAAGCGGGGCTCTGGCGTGGTGAGTCCACCACGCTGACCCCAGGGGACCTCTGGCAGGGTGGGGGCATAGTAGGACAGGAGGGCCCCTCTCACAGTTAGGTGAAGAGAGTCAGCCTCCAGAAGAGGATCCCATAAAGAGGAGAGGGAACCCAGGTGCCCACCTGTACCCATCTCACCCTGAACACATTCAGCTTTTGCAATTTTGCCCTATGGTCAACCTTATAAAAGCAGGTAGTCAGTAATATGGAGTTTGGGGGAAGTCACTTGAAAGACTTTTCAGTTCTCTCCCAGCCCAAAATGTTACCCCTAACCTTGGAGTTACCCTTTGCTTTCTTCCTGGGGTCTTCTTTTGAAATGTATGTATTCTATAGTGTTCATGAGTTTGCCAGACGACCCTCCACAGGGGCAGCAGTGAGGGCCTTGAGTAAGAAAGGAGAGGGAGACAGAAGGAACTAAGCCTCTGAGATGGCCAGTAACTGACCAGAGCCACACGGGTATTAGCTGCCAGAGCCAGGTCTCAATCACTGACCTATCTAATGCCAAAGTCTACATTCCTGTCATCGCCCCAAACTGTGTCCCAAAGGGATACTGAACCTGACTCAGACAACACAGGTCCAGGACCCTCCACCATTCAGCCACAGGGTAATCTCATCCATGGCCAGCCTGGGAGAGGATGAGCCATTGAAGGTAGAGGATGGTCAGCATCCCCTCTCTCTGGAAAGCTGGGGGTACCCAGCCAGGGAGTCCTCCCTCCACACACTGCCCACAGGGCTGCACCTGGACGTACTGCAGCAGCGTCTCTGTGTAGGTGGGAGCTGCTCTCCACATCCACAGGGCCCAGTCTGCCTACTGCCTTCCCACCTGGGCTTTTACCAGGACACTGTCGCCTACTCACTACCAGGCCTGCCTCTCAGCCACCAGGATGAGAGACAAAAAGAGTGAATCCTCGCCCCCCCCCCCCGCTCTTTGTGTCTGACCCTCCCCCATTTTTCTAGGTTCTCAGCAACGAGAAGACCCTGACACTCAAATCTGTCCGCCAGGAGGATGCTGGGAAGTATGTGTGCCGGGCTGTGGTGCCCCGGGTAGGAGCTGGGGAGCGCGAGGTGACCCTGACTGTCAATGGTAAGACCCCCCAGGAGGGTGGGCTGGGGCGGAGGGTGCACCAGGCATTGCCCCAAAGAGACTGTCACTGGCTCTGGGCCTTGCTACCACCTCCAGCTATGGTCCTTAGTAGTTATGTCTGCCCCTTTTGGAGTCCTGGTCAGAGCCAAGGTTGGAGGTGAAGAAGAACCTGGGGGGTTTTCTGATCACGTCTCTCCTTTTTGTTATGTTTAAAGGGGTCTCATAGTAGCTGATGATTTTTTATCCTGGACAGGAAAAGAGTCAGAGGTCACCCTTGTGACCATATCCCTTGTCTGCCCTTTGATCTTGACCTGGCCATGCGGAGTTTAAAGGCACATCCCCCACTTTTATGGCCAGACTCTTCCCATCACACAGAGCCACTCAGCCGTGGAGAGCTGTCACCACCCCCAGGGACCAGGTGTGTAGGGTCCTCTTGAAGGCGAGGAACATGTCTTACTATACACAACGATAATAATGACAGCAGGACAGTGTTGTAATAGTGGGAGTCTGTCAATAGCTATGGTAGAGGGGCAGGATCTTCAGATCAGATCTGGATGCCAATGTGGGTGGCCATGGAGAAGCTGGGACCTAGCCCAGGCCAGATCCAAGAAGGTGTGGTGCCAAAACAGAAACCCCAATGTCCCCACTGTGATGTGTGTTTGGGCTGTGATAAAGCTACCTATTGGAGAGGGTGAGAGACACCAAGGCCATGTCCCTCAGCCACCTCCAAGGGTTTGACCCCATTTCTGGTGTGGTCATGATCCTTTGGGAGACCCCTGCTCCCACCAAAGGCTACCTGGGATCAAAAATCTAAGCCACAGACCCAACTGTGTAAGCCTCTAGATCTGGCTCCAGACAGGGGCCTGGGAGGGGACTCTCTGAGGGAAATCATCCTGTTGGCTTCATCTCCACCCAGGGAGCTGCCCACTGACAGCCTCATCTAGTCTCCCCCTTTGCTAGAGAACTAAAACCAGCTTGGTGCTTCCTCAGCATCCCCCTCTGTGTCCCCATTAGCCAGCTCCCATTCCAGGTGTATTTCCTTTCCTCTGCCTCCCCGACAGGTATGGCAACCCCAGAGAGAGGGTGAATCTGCCCAGAAACCAGAGCGTTCACAGACCACCTGTCCAGGGCAGAACCCCAGCTCCAGAGCGCTCCAGCCTTCCTGTGTGTCCCCAGGATGCCACCAATAAATTGGCACTGCAGGGCTAAAAATAACAGCATCTGATCGCGCCTCCGTATATCCATGGCAACACAGGCTGCAGCCTTTTCCTGCCGGGCCGGTGTCTGACACTCGGCTCAGTGCACCAGGCCACAGTGAACCAGCCATCTTCCCACTGCCCACTCTGGGGAGGGCGCTGGGGAGTCAGGCTGTCCACGCCTGCTGCCAGCTGCAGTCCACACTCCTGGGACCCTCAGACTCACAAGTGCCTTCCAGGGTCCTGGAGCCAGAAGCTATTAACTGAGCATCCTCATTTCTGGGGAAAAGGGTGAATAAGGAGGGGCTGACATCTTTCTGTCACTTGTAGACATTCAAGCACTTTAATGGAAATTAAAAGAGGTGTTTTTTTGTTTTTGTTTTTGTTTTTGTTTTTAAGAGTAGAAATCCCCACCCCAACCTGCACCCTGGGGAACTCAAGCTTTGGGCTGGACACAGCAGCCTGGGCCCTGGCATTCTCCTGGGGTTTAATTTTTCCATCTCTCTCTCAACCTCCACGTCTTTCAGCAAGAGCTCCCCTAGGTTGCCAGGCAGAGAAAGGCTGAAGGGATTGAAGTAAGGAAACTGCTGTTTACTTCTGCCAGTCTAGGGCTGCCTGGCACTGGGGCAGGAGGCTGGATGAAGTGGCTCAGGGAGAAGAGCCTGCCAAGCCCCATCAGAAACTGAACCTTCTGTCCCCAGCTTTGGAAAATAGGTGGACAGGTAGTGAAGCCCTCGGACAGGGGCCAGGCACGTGTCAAAGGCATGTGATGGCATAGAAGCATCCAGAATGGAGCTGAGTTCCCATCACAATAAATCCCTGTTCCTGGGCACCTGCAGGCCAGAACCCTTTGGGGAATAAATTGGCACGGATCTCAACTGAGCTTGCTTAAACCAGGTAGCTGCAGGAAGGGGAAGATATTTGCCATTGGCTGACTCCCTCAATCCCATTTTTATTTTTTATCCTGGCTTTTGTTTTCACTTAAGGAGCCCATAAATGCATAGGCATTTGCTGATAGTTTTTAGAATCTTGTGAACCCCTCTGGGAATTCGTAGTTCCTGGGAAGTGAAAGGAAAAGATTTTATGGTATCATCACTGTTTAGCCCAGCAGCAAATCAAAGAACCATCCATGTTCCAGAAACATGGAATCTCATCTCTTTAGACCAAAGGCCTCTTGGAGCCAAAGAGATTCAAAGGCAGAAGGCAGGGCTTAGCCCACTCTTACAGCCATCTGAAGGGGGAAGTCCCTGCCCTGAGGTTACCCACTTCTTCCCAAACCTTTTGTATCCTAACCTCAAGAGAAGCCATGGGAGTGGCTCCCAATACCTTTTTTCCCTTGGCTGAGAGCTACTCATGGAAATGCAAATCTGTTTTAATTAAGGTGGCTAATAAACAGCAATTATGTTTGCAGCAATTTTTGTTTTGTTCCCAGCATAATTTTGCACATTCTCCCCATCATTACTCTTATCTGTCTTTCCTAAGACATCACCCCTGAGATGGGGAAGGGAGTTCAACCACACCCCATCCCCCAACCACTTATCCCAGCTAGAAAATTAGCTGAGCAAATGGTTGTAGTAGCTGTTTCTCTTTCCCACTTTCAATGTCAGGTTGGGATCACACAGAAAAGACTTAGGTTAGATAACTGGCAGAACTGGAAAAGAAGCACTATAGAACAAGTTCTGCTTCGGGTGGACTCTCCCTGTTGCCTGATGTGCTAAATGTGACAGGCACTCTCAGAACTTGCCACCCATAAACATGTCGAACCTGCACGCATATTGGATGGGATAATATTGAGGTCAGTTTTAGAGCTGTGGTCTCACTAGGGCCATCTAGGTATGTGTGTGGAGACAAGATTATAAACTACAGGATCTACTGAGACACACACTGGCTTAAGATAGTGAACATGGGGCTGGGGATATGGCTTAAGTAACAGCGCACTCGCCTAGCATGTGCAAGACACTGGGTTCGATCCTCAGCACCACATAAAATAAAGATATTGTGTCCACCTAAAGCTAAAAAATAAATATTAAAAAAAAAAAGATTGTGAACACGGCCAACACATTTCACCTATCCTGGGTGATTTTGGCCCCTGGTAGAGGGACAGCACCCTTTTTCTTCCTTCGGAGGAACCTGACCGAATACAGCCAGTTTGTTGGGCAAGAGCGCCCTCTACTGGAGAATTGAGAAATGGCTTGAACTCCAACAGCTGCCTGGGCGGGAGACATTCATTAGGGCTGTTTTCCTTCATCATGACGCCTGCCCCCATTGTGGAGCTTCCCAGGTTCACCACCTCCTTCCTAAAGCTTTCCCAGAGCGCCAGATAGAATTATTCTCTCTCCCCTGAAGTCGGTTGGCAGTTTATCTGCACTGCTTCTGTGCTATGAACGCTCACCACCTTTTATTACAGTTATTTATGTCTTCTGGGGATTCTGACTTAGAAGCATTCACTCATGATCCCTTGAGAGGTTTACAACTTAATGCCTAATTTATCTTCAAGTCGCCTACCTTGCACTCTACCTTGCACATGTGAGCCTTCCGTAAATGTTTGCTGAATGCTTGGATTAATGAATACACTTTTGAACCCACCACAGAGGGTGCCAGCTGGAGACTTGCCCTTCCTGGATCCCTAATGTGTTGCTGTCTCCCCAACAGGACCCCCCATCATCTCCAGCACCCAGACCCAGCACGCCCTCCACGGTGAGAAAGGCCAGATCAAATGCTTCATCCGGAGCACACCGCCACCAGACAGAATAGTGAGTGCTCCAGGGAACAGGGCAGGCCTGGCGCCCCCACCCCCAGAAGCCCAGGGGTCACCTCTGCCAAGAGCCCAGCAGTCAGCCAGTGGGGGCATGCCTCCCAGACTCACTTTCCTCAAGGAAAATCATACCTACCTTGTCTCTCTTGGGAACCCATCCTGAGAACAATTACAGGCAACCTCCTTTCTTGGATCAGGAGTGTTCCCAGGATGTGTCTGCCATTTGGCTGAGCTCAGGGTTAATGATTCTAACCAAATCTGCATCCTGGGGAAGAGGGGAAAGATGAATGATTTCTTCTATTTCCTGGGTTCAAGGCCAGTCTGGCAAAATCATAAGCTGAGTGGAGTTTACAGTTGGCTACTGCTTTCTGTGCCTCCCAGAGCCCTTCTCTAATAGAGTCTCTTCTGCCCTTAATGGCAACAGGGAACCCCTCATCCTGCACCATAAGTGCTCTCCTCTGAAATGACTGATCCATTCTTCCCTTCCTCCAGCTGTACCCTGAAAGACAGTCAAGGCACCCTGTGAACTGTTGCCCACCCTTGCTCCCACTCCCAGGTGTTTGCATTTTTTTAAAGAGACGGTCTTGCACCCAAATCCATCTGAAATTGGCAGAAGCTCAGGCATGAAAGTAATGAAAAGAGAGTACTCGGTAGCACAATTGGGGAAAAGATATTATTTCAGCAATCCCCAATGCCTAGGAGAGTCCTGCTCTAAGACTGCTCAGGGTCAACTCCACAGGGAAGTCCCTCCTTTCCACAGGGCAGCAGTGCCTGGGGGTGGTGTCAGGTGGGGCCAGGTGCTGAGCTTGTGAGAGCCTGTGTATGCCTGAGACATCAGTCTGTGCAAATAGTAACTGTCATCTTAGTAAACTAAGATTTTATTAGAATGTTATTGCTCTTACACATTTTCTCAGGCATTTGGTTCATTCATTGTTTGAAAGATTCACCAAAAGATTGTAAAAACTCACACACTGAACTAATACTTATGCCTCTCCCTTCACTTCACTTTTTAATTTTTAAAAAATATATAAATGTAAGCCCTCACATCTATAATCCCAGTTATTCAGAAAGCTAAGGCAGGAGGATCACAAGTTTGAGGCCACTTACTGAGACCCTGGGGCAACTTACTGAGAGCCTGTTTCAAAACAAAATACGAAAGTGCTGGGGGTGTAGCTTACTGGTAGATTCCCAGACTTACCTAGCATGTGAGAGGCTCTGGGTTCGATCCGCAGCACCACACACACATAATTCATAAATATAACACATGCCCCTTGTAAAACATCCCATCCAATCACCCTTGAGCATTTCCACACCATCGTTCTCTCACAGATACCTAACTGTAAGCTAGTGATTCTCAAGTGGCAATTTGTCCCCCAGGGGATATTTGGCAGCATCTGGAGACATTTTTGGTTGTCACAACTTTGAAGGTTAATGCTGGTGTCTTAGTGAGTAGAAGCCAGGGCATCTGTGAACAGCCTGCCGAGCACAGGGCAGCCCCACCACTAAGAAGAGGTTGGTCCAGAGTTTGAAAAGCCCTGCTCCAGCTCACCTGGATGGAGCCTCTGGGCACTAACTGGCATGACTTGAGTTCCCATGAACACTGCGAGCCGTTATGTGCAAGAGACTTACAAGTTGAGGTGCTTGCAATGTTCATGTAATGACTCTGAAAACAATTAAATTATCTTCCCTGTAAACTTTTGAAAAAGCCAATTCACAACACTAGATGAATCATTCTGGGCTACCTCAGGCTGAGTGAGTCAGCAGCACGGCACAGGGTGCCCATGAGGAGGTCCACATGGGAGAAAGACACACACAGGGCTCAGCTTGTCACCATAAGAGTCCCTCTTTGCCAGAAAATGTTCCAAATGCAGTTGTGCATAAGGCCCTCCTTGGAAGGAAATGGCCTCTGAGATGGCCCTAACTTCTGTGTGTACATGCGTATATGTGTTTGTGATGTGTATACATGTATATGTGTATAGTGTGCTATATATGCATGTATATATGTGTGAATATATGCTGTGTGTGTAGTGTATATACATGTATGTACACATATATGTGTATAGTGCAGTGTGTATGCAATGTGTTTGTAGTGTGACACGCACATGTACCTGTATATATACATATTGGTGATGTGCCTGTATGTGTGTGTTGTGATGTTTATATGTGTTTCAGTATGTGCAGGTGTGGATGCATGTTTGTGGTGTATGGTACATGTGTGTACCATGATGTGGGTGGTATGTTATGTGTATACATGCATGGTGATGTGCGATGGTGTGCACTGTTTTATGTATGTGATGTGTGTGCAAGTATTCATGTGTACACATATTGGTAGTGTGTGGCAGTAAGCATGAACTTGAGCCTGGCCGTGTCAGTGCCTGGGGTGGGGAGGTGGCATTGAGGTCCTGGCATGGGCAGCCTATAGGGGTCTCCTACTAACTCTGGGCACCCTGGCAGGCCTGGTCCTGGAAGGAGAATGTGCTGGAGTCGGGGACGTCTGGGCGCTACACAGTGGAGACGGTCAGCACGGAGGAGGGTGTCATCTCCACCCTGACCATCAGCAACATTGTCCGGGCGGACTTCCAAACCATCTATAACTGCACCGCCTGGAACAGCTTTGGCTCTGACACCGAGATCATCCGGCTCAAGGAGCAAGGTGAGGGCCACCAGGGTCACCAGAGCATCTTGGGGACCAGCAGGGTGCAAGGCAGGTCCGAGAACCAGTCACAGCATTCTTTACCTGCCACACAGCCCTGGCTGGCTCCTCTCTGAGGCAAGGGGCACCAGCCCCATCGGGAAGCCAGAAGGGGAAGAAATTTCTGGGAGTGGCAGAATACTTCAGGGAAAGGTGACCACAGAACAAGCTGGGCTAACCAGTCCTGTTGAGATGCCCAGAAGCTTCCAAAGGCCCTGACCTCTACACCCTCTGCCCTTCCTTGTAGGCGCTGGCCTGATGCCAAAGTGCCCTTATGATAGGGTAGAAGTCCTGCAGGGGGTGCCAAGCTAAAACTAGGGGGTGGTGCCTGAGGGTCCAGATCCCTGGTGTGGGGAGGCAGGACCCAGACCATCAGCAGTTCCAGGGGTAGAGACGTGGACCACAGAGCTATAAAAGGAAGACTGGGCAAAAGGGTGCAGAACAGCCAGGTTGGCATGAAGGGAGGAAAAAGAGTCCCCCACTGTGACCCCAGGCATAGACTGCCCCAGCTCCTTGTCAGACAGGTGCTAAGAACTCCAGTCTCTGCTCAAAGTTCCTGGGCACCAATTACCAGGTGGAGAACCTCAGAGGGCCACTGCGGGCTGGTTGCAGAGAAGCTCCACATGCAGCCAGCAGCGCTGCTGCTCCTGAAATGGGCTTGGAACTTGCCCCTGGGCCAGTCAGAGCTCAGCCAGGGAGTTCCAGGGATGGTGTTCAGCCAGGTTGGGCCTCCCCAAAAAAGATTCAGGGCCAAGCAGGTGGTCCCAGCTGAGCCCCTGAGGCCTCTAGGGATCACATGGCGATCGCACCTAAGGGTCAAATCTCAGAGTGTCTCCCACCACCTCTACCTTAATAGGAGCTGCTTTGCATAACGCTTTGCACATAATTTGCATAATATCATCCACCTGTCATCCTAACCCTCCTGGCCCCCTGTTGCCTACCCTCCTTGTCTTCCCCTCGGTGCCCCACCCCCGTGCCCTCCCCTTGGTGTTTTCACCCACCCTCACACCCCCTCCCAGGCTTGACTTTTCTCTCTCCACCCCCCTCTGGAGTGTCCAAGTCAGTCTGAATGAACTCCAAGTTCAGTCGGGCGAGCCTGGATCTCTGGGGCAGTCCAGGGATGTGATGGAGGAGGGAGCCCCCCTTGCCCCAGCCCCCTCCAGGTGGCCAATCCCCGCCCACCCCACCCTGGCCAGCCAGGCCCTGGCTATGGACGCTTGCTTTATTTCCAAACAGGTTCGGAAATGAAGTCGGGAGCCGGGCTGGAAGCAGGTACGGAAGGAGATGTTGAGAACTTCCCTGGGATGGGGGAGGGACTTCTTGGCTAGTGGGGGAGGGGACTGACATGGGGTAGGGAGGCCTTTGCAGGCCACTAACATCCCTGCCCTCCCTACATGGAGGGCTTAGTGCAGTCAGAACAGCGGGAGAGGGCCTCCCAGCCAACTGGGGTCTAGGGACCCCAGAGACCTGTCTCCTGTCTGCTGCCATGGCCCCAGGGCTCCTTCCTCCCCAGGACACTGGCTCCGCTCCTGTCCCTTCCATTCCTTCCTTCCCTTCTCTTCACAAGCCCCAGCCCCTGACCCCCTGTATTTCCAAGCTTCCCGGACTTCTCCCCCATTGCCTCCCAGGAAGCCTGCCTCCCAACCCCTGCTGCAGCTTGCTTAACCCTGCTTGCTGGCATTCCTCCTCCTCCCCCGTGAAGTGTCATCTCACCACCAGGCCGAGGCTGCTGGGCAATGCACACACCCAGCCCCCACACCCCCTGCATCTGCAGCAGAGTGGTCATCAGACTCCTTAGACCTAGTTGCTCTGTCTAGACACTTGTGTACACACATACATACACACACAACCAGGACAGGGTAAATCAGACTCCACAGGGTGAAATAAGTTCTCACCAAGGACTCAGGGGGTCTTCTGTCTCAGTTTTCTGCCCATACTGGCCCCTGGCCCATGTTACCCCTCCAGGTGGGCCCACATACCTCTCCTCTCTGGGCACAATCCAGGGCACGGCCAGCTCACAGCCAACCCATGCAGCACACACAGAGCTGGCCCCTGCTCTACTATCTGGACTCCCTCACCTCTGGTAGCTCCATCCTGTCTCCATTCCATGTCTGTCTGTTCGCACTCATCTGGAGTTTTCTGACACTTTCTTCCCATGGTGTCTGAGACTCCTCATGCCCAGTCTCCCTCCTTGGATGGAGTCGAGGCTGAGGGAGGGCAGCTTCCCCTCCCAACTCCTTGAGGAGAGAGAGGACCTGCCTGCCCAGGCTGCCTAGGCCAGACCTCCGGAGGCCAGGCAAGGAAGAAACACCAGGAAGAGGAAGGGATGCCACCCAGAGCCCTCCCCCACCCAGGCCCCCTCCTCCTCCACCCTTGCCCACCTGCTTGGAAACAGTTCTCCAACCAAGATGGCAGCTCCCTCACCCTGGAGCAGCTGCTAACTACTCCAGGAAACACGGATTCAAGAATGCCACTAGTCAGAAAGGACCCTAGATACTGCTGCCCCAGCTCTGTGGATTTACAGATGAGATTCCGAGTCCGGGGATGTGAGGACAAGTCATGACCTGGCTCTGAGTTCAGCTGAGACAAGCCCTGAGTTTTTCCAAGAAAGTTTACTAGGAATCAGAGGACAAACAAATCAAACCCCAATTTATAAATTTCAAAAGCAGAGAACCAATGAGTTGTCAAAGCAGTTTTCCTTTCCTAATGGAATTAAACCAAGAGACAGTAGCATTTGTTTGTCAAAGCAAACTCCCTGAGGTCATGTCCCTTTCCTCGTTCCTGACTGTTAAGAGCAACCCAGATACTTCCCTTTCCAACCTGAGTGTTTGCTGTCCCCACTTCCTGCTGGTCACGTCCTCTGTCACTTCTGCAGTGGTCTCGGCCACCCATAGGTAGATAACACATGGGTTAGTGTGCAGGTCCAGGGTGGCAAAGGAATGGACCAGCTTAATCACACGCTGCCAACCAAGAGGCACCAGCTCCTGCGGGTTGGTGTCCCCACCACCTCCCACACCCTTCCAGCAGTGCCTTAGGGACCCAGGTGTGAGGATTTGTTCATCTCATCCTATCAAGAAAACACCCAGGGATGAGGGCGGTAGAGTATTAACCAAGCATGCGTGTGCCCTGGGGTCCATCCCCAGCACCATGGTAGGTGGACCACGGTCCAGAGCAAACACCACACTGTCACAAAGTCCATCCACACTGATGAAGGTGGGGAGGGGGGCGATGAGGCTCAGTCTTTCAGAGGAGCGTGCTTCTCCTTAAGGTTGTGATCTGCTATAGTCACCCCTTCCTGAACAACAACAGGAACAAACACTGGCATTAGGGCTGGGTGCCAGGCCCTGCTCCAAGGCCTTCCTACACAGTCCTTCATCTCAGCCCCGCAATAACCTTCTGAGGCCAGCACTATTATTACCCGCCTTTTGCAGACAAGAGAAGTAGAGTTAGCTTGGAAGAACTAATGGATCCAGGACTCCAGCAGCCAGCAGTCTGGGCTGGACAGTACATGTTAAGATTTGGAGGATGCCATGTGACACAGTGGACCGAGCTGGATGGGATGGGGGCAATAGGAGGAGACCTGGATTTACCTTGGCTCTACTGCAGCTGTGTGTCTTTGACCACATCACTTGACTTTTTGGGGGGCTCAGTACCTCTGTCTGCAAATGGAAACCTTGGATTCAGTGAGCCCCAAGGTCACCGGCCCCAACACTCTCGAGTTCTATTCCTGATGGTCATTTGGGGGTTCCAAACCGTGTGTTCAGGCCACATATCAGTCATAGAAGGGCCAGGGCTTCTGGTAGTGCAACCCCTCTTCACCACCCCCCCATCCCCACAGCTGGGCCAGGGGACAGACTGCAGGCAGGGACTGGGGGCTGGCCTAGCTGGGGTTCCCAATGCTCTCACACTGCAACAGGTGCCAGGTGCTCAGAGAGAGCTGGAGGAGCAGGCCGGTCAAGGGAAAAGGTCATTTCTCCTTAGAGAAGTGGGGTAGGGAACTCTGATCCTGTCCCCCTGGCTCCTGAGATATGGACACCTGGGGGCTCCAACCCATGATGCCCCGCAGGCCCTGAGGGGAGGCTGCCTCCAACCTCAAAACTAACAGCTGGGTGTCTGCACGTATCCTCCATGTACCTGGGGAAAGGAAGAGAAGGAAGGAACAAACTGAACAAACAAGGGCTGTGACCATAGTCATTTTTCAAAGAAAAACCAGGACTTCTGACTCACCAGCCACCACATGACAAATTCCTTGTTTAATGCCAAAGAACAATAAATCAAGCCAGCCTCACCCTGTATTTTCAGTGTTCCTCTCCCCCGCCCTCCCTTCTCTGTGTCTGCTCCAGCGTTTGTCCCTCCTTCCTGTTCCTCCACGCTCTCCCTCCACTTTGTGTCCTCCACCCCCATCTCCACAGTCCCACCCAGAGCTGACTCTGGGGGGACTCTGCCTGTGCCTTTCCAGGCCCCACAAAGGTATTACCCAGAAGGGCCCATGTGGCAGTGGTCTGGCCCCAGCTTGACAGGGGCTGCACGGAAGGGGACTGGGTGAGGTCCTGGGGGGACAGTGTCCTGCCCCCCGTCCCTCATCAGCCGTGCCTGCTTCTCTCCCACAGAGTCTGTGCCGATGGCCGTCATCATCGGGGTGGCCGTAGGAGCTGGTGTGGCCTTCCTCGTCCTAATGGCAACCATTGTGGCCTTCTGCTGTGCCCGTTCCCAGAGAAGTACGGGAGGGAGACCCGGGATCTCAGGGAGGGGGACAGAGAAAAAGGCCAGGCTTAGACTTCCCCGGAGAGCAAGTAAGCAGGAGTGCAATGAACCGGGGCCCTAACAGTGCTGTGAGCTCCTGGGGCAGGGATGGGTCTGATGTGGTCATTTCACTTGCAGTGCCTTGTGGGGTGTCTGCACCCAGTGGGCATGCAGCTGAGGTTGAACTGCACTAGACTGACCTTCATCCAGCAAGGAAGGCAGCCAACAATTTGGATTGGACAAATATGTCACTCTCGTCACGGAGAGTATACAGATCCAGGGGGAAGAAGTGGCTTGCTCTGCCAGGGCTGCAAGTTTAACCTGAAAAGCCAGTCACCTACCCAGGGGGAAAAAAAACATTCAAGGAATTGCTCTGAAGAATCCTCTGCACCCAGATCTCCACACTGGGCTTAGCTCTGAAGTTGTGTGACTGACAGACAGGTGCAAGGGGAAGACAGAATGGCAGAAGTGAAGGCAGTAGAGGTGCAGGCCCTAGTTCCACCTCTTCCTCCATGTGGTTCAGGGAAAACCATACCTATTCCAGGCCTCAGTTTCCTCATTTGTGATATTAAGGGGTTGGATGACTGAAGTTTTATGACCCTACTTGGCTCTAAACTTCGATGAGCAGAAAGCACAAAGTGAATCACCAATATTATAAGTCTGCTCCTTCCACCACTCAGCCCTTACATGTTGGAAGGAATCCAGGGTTCCCCTTACATTTTCTCCAGTCTAGCTAAGCAGCCCTAGTTCCTATGATTACCCACAATTATGCCCTCTCAGGACCTCTTTTACTGCCTTCCAATAGAAATTATAGAAGAATATATTTTAGCAAGAATTTTCTCAGAAAGCTCTCCAGCTAGAAACAGGCTACCTCTTGTAGAAAGAGTAAAGTTTCCATCATGGAAGCTTCAACAGGAAAAGCTGGACCCCTGTGTGTTTGTTTCTGTTCTGGGTGAGGGGTTGGCTATGAGATCTTAAGGTCCATTCTGACACTAAGTCATGGTTCTATGAATGGAGAGAACAGAGCCTGGTAGAGTGGGTCAGAGAAGCTTCTAGAAGGAAGTAAGGATCAGTAAGGTGGATGATGGATGAGGACCACCTCTCCAGCCAAGGGAAAATGCCTGAAGTGCATGCATCAGGGAGCCAGGCGGCCCGTGTGTGGCTGGCCTCTCCGAGAGGCCCACATAGTCCACAGCATATCCACACAGATGTTCTATGGGCAGGGGGTGGGGGGTGGGGGCTGGTGAAGCTGCTGAGTTCAGGGGTTGAAGGGAGGGTAAATCCTGCAGGGTGGTGGGGTGAAGGGTGGCATCAGGCAATTGTGGGGGAGCATGACATCTCGGGCCTTGATCCCTGAGGGTGAGAACTGAATTTGTCGCCTACACTTTCCTATTTTATGTCCAGACCTGAAAGGTGTTGTGTCAGCCAAAAACGATATCCGAGTGGAGATTGTCCACAAGGAGCCTGCCTCCGGTCGGGAGGCGGAAGAGCACTCCACCATCAAGCAGCTGATGGTAAGAATGCTGCCCATTCCCCACCATACCCTGTGACCATGTCCCCAGAAGGTCCTGGGACTGGAGGCTTCTCAATGTCCTTGACACTTCTGAGAAGCAGAGCATCAGTCGAGATGCTCTACAACAGACCAGGCACACAGTCTCAACCAACAAACATTTATCTGTGGGCCTGTTGTACTGCGCCTGGTGACCTGGGAGACTTGAAGACATCTAAGGTACAGTCCCTGCCCGCAGAGAGCCTGACCACTCAGCAGGGAGAGTCCATAGGCTTAAATTGCCATAGTACGTTGCTATATATAATTCCACACACATAGATATAATAGATACTCAGTACATTCCTCTCCTCTCTCCTTCCCCCAAAACTTGTCCGTAAGAAGCATAGGTTCCTCTTTGGGAACTGGATTGCCCACCAGAAGCAAACTCAGAACCTCTCCAGTGATATAAAGCCTGCTGTACCTCTTCTTGATCCCTCTTCATGACTCAGAATCCACCTTACTGTCCAGGCAGAAGCCTAGACAACTGTGTTAGTCAGCTTTTCATTACTGTGACAAAATATCTGAGAAAAACAACTTGAAGGAGGAAAGATGTATTTTGGCTCATTATTTCAGTCCATGGTTAATGGCTCCAATGTTTCTGGGCCTGGGGTGAGACAGAGCATCATGGCAGAAGAACATGGCAAAGCAGCATTTGGAGCAAAACTGCTCACTTCAGGGCAGCTAGGAAGCAGAGAGAGAGCAAGGAAGTGGTCAGGGGTAAGATAGACCCTTCAAAGGCACACCTCCAATGGTACACTTCCTCCAAGGTGCCACCTTCTACAGTTTCTACCACCTCCCAGTAATGCCATCAAATTCTGAATCTGTCATTGGATTAATCCACTGTTGAGGTTAGAACCCAAAACCCCACCTCTGAACATTGTTGCACTGAGGAGCAAGCCTTCGATACACGAACCTCATAGTAATGAGGGTTGTTACCTAGGTCAGGAGATGAAAGGCATGAGGGGATGAAGGTCTCCCCAAGGGGAAGCTAGCCACAGGGCCCTCAGCAAGACCCTTCTGCTAAATACCCCGCTACTCTTACCAAGATACCCAGTGAACCCCACTCTTTGCTGAGGGTATAGAATTGTCTGAGACAGAGAGAATATTTCAATCGGAGGGAACTCAAAGGCCCATTCGGGAAGAAGGATTCCAGATCCAAACTATAACAACTATGCTAGAAACTTGAGGTGCATATTGTCATGGTAGGAATGTGCTGGAGTAGCAACAGCAGAGCAAGGGGTAAAGAGCTTCAGTGTCCTCATCTATGAAATGGGCATAAGATACAGGGCCATGGTGAGGCCCTGAAGAGCTCAGAGCCCATGAATCAGTACAGTTGTTCCTTGGTATCTATGGGGATTGGTTCCAGGACCCCCTAATGATACCAAAATCTTAAGATGCTCAAGTCTCTTACATAAAATTGTGTAGTGTTTGCATATAATGTGCCCAATCCTCCCATATACTTTATTTTCATTTATCCATTTATATGTTTGTTTGTTTTGCAATAGTGGGGATTGAACCCAGAGGCACTCTACTACTGAGCTCTGTTGCCAGCATTTTTTTTTCAATTAAAAAAAAATAGTCTTACTAAGGCACACCCCCAATGGTACACTTCTAAGTTACTAAGTGTCTTACTAAGTTTCTGAGGCTTGACTTGAACTTTCCATCCTCTTGCCTCCCAAATTGCTGGGATTACAGGCGGGACCAGCCTCCTCCCATATGAGTTAAATACCTAATACAATACAATGTAAATACTATGCAAATAGTTGTTACATAGTGTTGTTTAGGGAATAAAGACAACAAAACAGTCTGTACACAGAACTTTCTTCCCAAGTGTTTTTGATCCTCAGTTTGTAGAATCCACAGTGCAGAACCTGGGGATACAGACAGCTTACAGTGAATGCTCAGTAAATGTTAGTTACTTGTGTTGCTCTAAAATCACCCACTAGATGGTGAGCAACTACTATCTTGTTCATCCCTGGCAGGGGCTCACAAATGTTTATTGAATTGAACCGACTTTTCCCTCTGCTACTCTTTCTCTATCCAATTGATTTTTAGGGACTGTCAATTCCACCTCAAAAAATGGTCTCAAACGTGTGTCCCGCCTCTCCTGAGCTGTCACTTCCTTATCTCAGGCCTCATCCTCACTCCCCTGCAGAAGCCTCCTAATTGATTTTAGCATTTGCCACTTTTCTCAACCTATCCTCCAGAGCCCTATCAAAGGGTTCTTCCAGAATGCAAATCTGATCTCCTGATTATCTTACTTCAATCCCTCATTGGCTCCATGTCTACTGGATAAAGTCCAGCTGCCCAGCATGTCATCAGACCCTTCCTGCAAGGCAGCTGCCAATCTTTCTAGCTCCATCTCCTGGCCAACCACATCTGGCTTTCCAGACACACCAAAGAGCTTGTGATTCCTGGTCTTGGAGTCTTTTATACCTGGAAGGCCTATGCACAATCCTGTTGACTTTTTTTTTTTTCTTTGAATTTTACATTCTCTTACAAGAATCAGCTCAAATGTCATCAACTCCATGATATTCTGTGTTTGCTGGCCCCCTGCCCCACTGACGGTGAGCTACACACCCTCTACTCTTCCCAAACACTCTGTGCGTGTCTCTTCCATAGTGCATTGTTCTAATTACACCTTACCCCACCACCAATTATCCCTGAACTCCTCAAGGACAAAGGTTATGTTCTGAGTCTACACTTGTCTATTCCCCCCAGGGGCTAACTTAGCACCTCACTTAACAGAGTGTTTAATTTACAAGGAAAGGAAACCACAGCCTAGACTTGAGTAGGAACCAATGTCTCTGTAGTTAAGCTTCATGGATCTATCCTTCCTGAATGGGCCATTGAATTCCCTCCATTGGAACATTCTGTCTCAGACAATTCCACATCCTCAGAAAACAGTAGGGGTTGCTCAGTATCTCAGTAACACCAAGGGGGTGTTTGGCAGAAGGGACTTGCTGAGGCTCTGCCGCTAGATTGCCCTGGGGGAAATCTCATTCTTCCTTCCTTTCACCTCTTGACCTTGGAAACAGCCCCATCATCCAGGGGAGGTAGGTTTAGAAGTTGAGTGCTGTGGGAAACAACTCTAATCCAGATAGAGCTGGAGCATTTATTGCAAAATGGAGGGTAAAAAGTAGTAGTAGTAATAGTGAGGCAGTAACAAGATGGAAGCACATTGGCTGGTTCTGTGGATTTCAGAAGGAGAGGAGGAAGTTCCTGCAAGAGAGAAGGAACTTCCTGCTGAGAGACCATGTGGGAACCTGGCCTAGACCATGGACTTAGCAGAAGCGATACTTGGGAGGTATCAGTTGTGTCACAAGTGAGGCATCACTGTGGTTATTCAGATTACTGCAAACACCCACTGTGTGCAAGTATGCTCTGTTTTTCATATGTCTAATGACTATTCTCAGTGATTGAGATCTAAGCTGCTTCATTCAGTCATTCAACATAAATCATGATATTTGGAACAGCCCTACCGTTTATCTGGCACTGTGCTATGCGGTGGTGAATCCAAGAATTAATATATTCCATTCCAAAAGTCTTCTGGTCAATGACCACAATATGCAAGAAATTGGACCAGATGTGGATGGAACCCGAACAGAGCAAGAAGTGGTCCTCCATCTTAAGTGGTTTGATATCTGTTAAGGAAGACAACTTTCCAGTGCATCTAAATCACTGCTATGAATAACAGATGTAGCCAGCTTTCTATTGCTATGACAAAATACCTGAGAAAATTGACTTTAAAGAGAGGAAAGGTTTATTTTAGGCCACAGTTCCAGTTTCAGAGGTATTACTCCATGGTTGCTTGGACCTGTTGCCTTTGGACTTGTGGTGAGGCAGAAGAATATCATGGCAGATACACATGGCATAGGAAAGCAGCTCACCTCATGACAACCAGAAACAGAATGAAGAGAGAGGCCAGGTGCAGTGGAACATGCCTATAATCCCAGCTACTTGGGAAGCTGAGGCAGTATCATAGCAAGTTCGAGGACAGCTGGACAAGGTAGAAAGACCCTGTCTTGGGCTGGCGTTGCCGCTCAGTGGTAGAGTGCTTGGCTAACATATGTAAGGCACTGGGTTCCATTCCCAGCACCACATAAAAGTAAATGAATAAAATACAGGTTCATTAACATCTAAAAAATATTTTTAAAAGAAAGAAAGACCCTGTCTTAAAATTTAAGAGAGAGAGAGAGAGAGAGAGAGAGAGAGCGCAAAGAAAAATAGGGCTGGAGATGTCGCTCATTGATACAGTATTTGGTTGGCATACATGAGGCCATGGGTTCAATCCCCAAAACTAGGGAAGGAAGGAAGGAAAAAAGAAGAGAGGAGGGCCCAAGATCCTGACCTCCCTTCAAGCGCATGCCCCCAGTGGCCTTACTTCTTCCCACTAGGTTTCACCTCCTAAAGTTCCACCACCTCCCAACAGCAACACAGGCTGAGGACCAGCCTTCAACATGTGGCCTTTGGGGGACACTTGAAATCAAAACCATAACACCAACGTTGCCAACACCTCACATGTAATGATTCTCTGTGGTTCCTTCTTAAGGCCTTCATTCAGCCCTAGCACTGGTTGACGAATTGCCCTAAAGAGAGGGAACTATGCCCTGTATTTGATGTTCTGTAATTATGTATTTCCAGATCCAACACCCTGATGAGCAGGGCCATATATTAACGTGTCTTCATCAGTGTATCCCTGGACCTTAGCACAGTGTCTGGCTAATAAATTGCTCAATGAATTAAATTGAATCAGCCAAGGACAATCCCTGAAGGAGATGATGACCTAGCCCAGCTGCAGACAGCGACACTTAGGGTCCTGCCCCCTGCTTCACCTCCCCTACCCTTCCTGCCTCTCTGCCTCAAGGAAGAGGATTCCAGGAGTAGGAATGAGGCATAGGATCTCATCCCCAATCCTTCACCTGCCTTCTGTGGTCCACGCAGGGAGGGGCATAGAGGAGGTGAAGCATATGTGATAATCTTTTGAGTTCATTTCCCCATCTTTTCCTTGGAGGAGGTGGAGTTGAGCCCACCTCCTATGCACTGAGATGTCATTTCTTGGATTATAGATGGAACGGGGTGAATTCCAACAAGACTCGGTACTGAAGCAGCTGGAAGTCCTCAAAGAAGAGGAAAAGGAGTTTCAGAACCTGAAGGTGAGAATGACCACAGGTTCTAAGAGGCAGCCATGGAATCTGTTCTTCAGCTTTGATGGCCCCAGCCCCAGTCCCTACAAAGAATGACAGCCAGGAGAAGGGAAGGGCCAGAAGCCAGCCTGGGGACAGGTCTGTAGCCAATCCCTAAACTGGGGACTCCCTGCTGAAGGCACCCGCTCTCTCCACCCCAACGTGGAAGAGACTGAGAGTTAAGACTCCTCGAATTCACCTCTCCCCCTGCTCCTCACAATTAGATTTTAAAATCCGTTATCCCTGTTCTGGACAAACACAAACAACAATTAAAGTCTCATTTTCAAGTTTTCTTGAAACAGAAAAAAAATAAATAAATAAATAAAAAGAAAATAAAATAATCTTGCAGTGCCCTAACATAAACCCTGGAAGGTGGTGGCAGAGGTAATCAGAGGCCACTCAGGAGGTGTCCAGTTCTGGGGTCCTCAGCTCTTTCCCTTCAAGAACCTGCCAGCCCTCTCCTGGCATCCAGCTTCACTGCCTTCCTGGGTCTCCGGTTGGGTGTCCTTCTGCCTGCCTCCAGGCCTCCCCAGTGGCTTTCTTCCTCCTCCTCACCCCTCCCTGGGCAAGGTAGGGCTGGCTGGTTTTAGATCCCCCCACCGTGTCCAGCAAAGGCTTCCCCAACGATGCGCCTCTCACTCTCACCCACTCAGGACCCCACTAATGGCTACTACAGTGTCAACACCTTCAAAGAGCACCACTCGACCCCGACCATCTCCCTGTCCAGCTGCCAGCCGGACCTGCGCCCCGCAGGCAAGCAGCGTGTGCCCACGGGCATGTCCTTCACCAACATCTACAGCACCCTGAGCGGCCAGAGCCGCCTCTACGACTACGGGCAGAGGTTCGTGCTGGGAATGGGCAGCTCCTCCATCGAGCTTTGTGAGCGGGAGTTCCAGAGGGGCTCCCTCAGCGATAGCAGTTCCTTCCTGGACACACAGTGTGACAGCAGCGTCAGCAGCAGCGGCAAGCAGGACGGCTACGTGCAGTTTGACAAGGCCAGCAAGGCCTCCGCCTCCTCTTCCCACCACTCCCAGTCCTCTTCCCAGAACTCCGACCCCAGTCGACCCCTGCAGCGGCGGATGCAGACTCACGTCTGAGGATCACACACCGTGGGCGGGGACAGGCCAGGGAAGAGGGCAGGGCATGTTCTGGTTCTCCAGGGACTAGGGCTACTTTGCAGAGGACCCCGGAACTGGACACCTCCAGGATGACCTTTGAGCACCTCTGCCAACACCTTCCTGTGAAACTCTGATCAAGCACAAATCTGGGTCCCCAGCAGCAGCCTGCCAGAGGCAGCAGGTGGGGAAATGGATGGAGGATGCAGCTGATGTGCTTGGTGCTAGACACCTTTGTCCCCAGCCCTTTCCTGGAGGCCCCTCTACCACCTCCTCCCACAGGCACTAGTGGCAGCTATAAATTTGCTTTCATGAAACTGCCGTCCACTCTCTGGTGTCCCCTGGGATTTCCCCCTTGCTGCCCATAAGCCCTCCCTGTGCCTGTGCTCCTATACAGCCCTGGGGAGAAAAGGGGAGTTCTTCTCGGCACCAAGCTGCTCCAGAGACCGCAGCAACCCGCACTGCTCCCAGCCCACGCCTCAGAGACTTGAGAAGCCAGAAATGGCCCTGGCCAAAAGAGCACACCACCTGGGAACCTGGCTCCAATTTGTTTGGTGTTTTGTGTCCATACTCTTGCAACTCTGTCCTTGGACTTGATGCCTCTGAACTCGGAGGTGGGACTGGCCCAATCAGAGCCTGGTGTCCTGTTGGGGGGGAAGACTGTGAAGCCTGGGGAATACCGTACCCCTCTCCAGACTGCGGGATTCAGAGCCTCCCCTGCCCCCTGCTTTATGTACTCCCCACCTCCCCACAGCACAATCAGAATTAATATAAGGAGTGAGAGTTGGTCTGGTCAGGGTTCTTTGAACAGTCAATGGAGAGTGTTTCCTGGGTGGTGTTGGTTTGAGGGGGCTGGAGATCAGGTCCCGAAGAGGATGAGACTCTCCTTCTCTGCTGATGAACACCAGGAACAAAGATCCTGTCTCCAGTAAGACTCCATGGGCAAGAGGGAAAGTTCATCTGCGCCTCTCCTCTCCCCCCATTCACCATCTGAAAATAAATGTTAGGGCCATTACCCTAGCAAATCCATTCTGTTCTTTTTTTTTTTTCCTGCAGAGTTACAGAAAGATCCCAAGGGCTCAGAATATGCTTTGGGAACCCTAGTTTCTTTACCCTTCTTTGATTCAATTTTCTCAGACTAGGAAGGCAATTGATGGGTCTGGTTGTGGTGGTAACAGAACCTATAGGCATACTGTCCTGGTGGATGGGCCTCACCAACCCCAACTCTTTTCTAATACAACTGAGGCAACAAGGTCATACTGGACATTTGTCAGATCATTTTAGTCTTTTCCCTTGATATTTTTTGGCAGGGCAATCTCCCTCCATTCAAGTTCAGGGAAGGAGCCCTCTTAAAAGAAGTTAGACCATCAACACCCTAATACTCAGATATGGGACTCAAACAATGTTCTAAGAATGGTTTTGCTTGGATGGGAAGCTGGGTGATGTCATGGAGGTGGGATGGATAAACAGTGGCTGGTTAGAGTGCTAACACAAAGGTTGTGATTTAAATGGAACTTTGAAGAACACAAATTGCACCCCAAGGTTGTAGGTTCCTTATTGGCTTTATAGCCTATTTCTCCAACCTTCCCTCACAGCCGTTATCCAGCATAGAAGCCACCACCATAGTCTGTGCTTTCTTCCATTCACTGATTCCTGGGATGGCCCCAATCTGCAGATTCTATGCTTAGCCCTCACAGTTCTCCCACTCAGGGGAATTTTCTGCTTCAATCATACTCCTAGTGCTTTAAAATCCCCCAGTTCCCTGGATATCTTCCTTTGCATCTCTCAACCCTAAGGGAATAGAAACTGATCAAAAATGGAAGTATACATCCCAGTCCCACATCCTGCTCCGGGTGCCACTCTGGTCTGGTGAAGGTGTTAGGATTGTTGACCTCTACCCTCTCTAGGTTAATCTCAGCATGCTTTCCCTCTTATATATGTTTTGCTTTTGCCAGCAGGGAACAAGGATCCAAATCATGCAAAATGACTTGATGTGATAGAATAAGGACAAGATGACTTAAGAGAATTTGTTCATTCATTTCTCCTCACCTTGGAGACAGGTGGAGAATCTACAACTTAATCCTCACCAGAACTTCCATTGCCCCATAGCCCCCCACCCCCCCCAACACACACACAACTTGTAGGGTGAAAGTGCCCATTCTTTCTACAACCCAGGGATATGACAAAATAACCAGAACAGAGAAGATACCTGTTCTGTGAATGGAATGAGCCCGTCTCCCTCCTATGCCATGGGCAATCCCATGGCAAGAAGATGAACTGTTCTAAAAGATGAACAGAGAGCACCACTGGGCCACAATCAAGGATGAGGCTATAGAATGTCAATCCTTTGAGCTCTCTTCAGTGCACAAACACAACAAGAATGGCGAAGAGACAGTAGATTCTGAGAATGGTCTTTATGAGGGGGAACAGCAATGCAGGGAGAAAATTAGGGTGAATGGGAGTGGGGTGCTCTGGAGCATTAAGAAGGACCCCAGATTGAGCTATGTGCATCCCTCACTTGTGTCCAGCTCTACTGACTTCTCACAATGTGTGAGGGTACAGAAAAGCCAATAAAGGCGATTATTTTTTTTTAAAAAAAGGTAGTAGGAAGTCCTGAATTCCCTAGTAGGTGATTGTACATTTAATACAAAGAGGGCTCAATACCTGTAATCTTATTTAATCCTTACAATTCTACAAAGTATCACCTTTTTTTTTTACAGAGGTGAAAATGAAGCTTAGAGAAGCCAAAGACTTGCCCAAGGTCACAGAGTTAAAGAGTGGCAAATCTGAGATTTAAACACACAGGATTTCCACAACAAGATGTTTCTATCCTGCAGTGCAAACTCAAAGCCTCTCTCATCCTAGAATATGAATGGAAGTGACTGACAGTTAAGTCATCTGCTAGCCGGCGCTCTGGGGCAGGCTAGGCGAGGACAAGCCACAGCTCCATTAGGAAGCGGCACTGGCATCCTCCACCTAAAGTCCCCAAATGACCTAGAAAGACCACAACTCCCTGGGAAACAAAGCTATTCCGTGTATCAATTCACTGCCACCCCTACTAAGGCCAGGATCCAGTTTTCTGATAGCTTTAACTTCCATTATTGGCCCTGAGTCACTGGACGGGAGCCCAGTTTCTAATTCTCAGGCTCACTATCAGTCTGCAAAGGCCAGGGTTATTTCCACCACTTTAACTTTCATGGAGTAGGAAGTGCTCTCACATGAAGAGCTAAAATGCCACATCAAGTTCATTTCTGATGAAGCCTATTTAAACAAATCCTATAAAGCAAAAGTCCCGAAAGCACTTTTGAGTTTCCAGAATGGAAAGGATCCCGGGAAATGAAAGCAAACACGATGCAGTCCTTGAGAGATTTCTTAGAAAAGCAAGAAAGGAGTCAACAGGAATTCCACTTCTCACTTCCTGGTTGGGGAAGGATATATGCTATTTATGGTATTTGCTTATGGAGTTGGAATTAAACTGCAAGATACGTAGCCACAAGTTTGATTAATTCTTCCCAGACATCATGTGTAGAGTTCGTGGTGGTACAAAAAAAAAAAAAAAAAAGACAAAAGAGAGTCCTGTTATTAGTGTCTTCTCTCCCCCCCTCCCCCTGCATGGTGCTTGGATCAAACCCAGGACCTCATGCATGCTAGGCAAGTACACTACCACTGAACCACATCTCCAGGCCCCAAATTCTTTATTAAAATAAAAGTATAGTCAGGCACAGTGGCGCATGCCTATAATTCACAATGACTTGGGAGACTGAGGCAGGAGGATGGCAAGTCTGAAGCCAGTTTGGGCAACTTAGTGAAACCCAGACTCAAAATAAAATTAAAAGGTCTGGGGATATAACTCAGTGATAGAGTGCCCCTGGGAGCATTAAGAAGGACCCCAAACTGAGCTATGTGCATCCTTCACTGCGTCCAGCTCTACTGACTTCTCACAATGTGTGAGGGTACAGAAAAGCCAATAAAGGGAATTATTAAAAAAAAAAAAAAAAGGTAATAGGAAACCCTGAATTCCCTAGTAGGTGATTGCACATTTAATAAAAAGAGGGTTCAATATCTGTAATCTTATTTAATCTTTACAATTCTACAAAGTATCACCATTTTTTACAGATGTGGAAATGAGGCTTAGAGAAGCCAAAAGAGTTGCCCAAGGTCACAGAGTTAAAGAGTTACAGTTAATAACCTTATTATTCAATTCTTAGTACAGATAAGAAAAAAAAAATAGACCAATGATATCACAACTAAAACATGAATTTTCCTTTCCCTTTAAAAAAGTCTTTTGAAAGCCCCATATCTAAATTAGTTTTAGAAGCTGTAACTGCATACTAGACATTTGCAGCTCTACCATCAAAACTGGCAGCAATCTCTGGTAGTAACTGGTAAAGAGTTTTCTGCTTATAATTGCTTATCATTTCCACTAGGGCTCCAGCCATCCTTTCCCCAGCCCCCTGTGTTTCAGTCTTCCTAACCAGGTCATAAAATGGGGAAATTTCAAGCTACTCTTCTTTCTACAAACACAAATTGTTTTCTTGAATGAAGACAAGTTTGTCATAAGACCATCAGTTCTTTCCCTTAATAATTGCTGTTCTTTCTTGAGCTACCTCCTCTCATCTCTAATGCTAGGTCTTTGACTTACTCGGAAAGCTTTCATTACTGTTAAGTCCTGTAGTTTTATTACACTACAATGCTCTTCTTTAAAAGGCTTTTTATAAAGGATTAAGGTATAGTTTAGTAGCAAAACACCTGTTTAGGATGGGCAAGGCCACTACCACAAAATAAATAAAAGATGTTTTGTGAACATACATCATTCACAAGATATGCCATTGAATTGTGGTCTGAATCCCTGAGTTTATTTTATTTTATTATACTGAGGATTAAACCAGCAGCATTTAACCACTGAGCTATATCTCCAGCCCTTTTTAAGACAGAGTCTCGCTAAGTTACTTAGGGCCCTGCACTTGTGATCCTTCTGCCTCAGACTCTGGAGTCACTGGGATCACAAGTGTGCACCACCATGCCCAGCTTCATCCCTGATTTTATAGTCACATACGCTTCCCCCACAGCTGGGGACTGAAACCAGGACTTGCTCTACCACTGAATTACAACCTCAGCCATTCCTGTTTATATTTATGCTTCTGCCACTATCCGCCTGCCACTCCATGTTGCCAGTGCTCTTCTCAGACAGTCCATTCAGCCCCAGGACTAGGACATCCTCAACTCTTGGGTCATGAGTGTCCGTTGAGCTCCCTGGCTAGGAAACACCAGACAAGCACAAGCATCTCCTTCGGCTGCTCCTGAAAGTCATGGCCCTTGACAACATCTCAGAATGCAAGGAGAACATGCAAAGAATGTTCTTTTATAATTGTGTTCTTTGTGGCAATTCTAAAGTATTAACATTCAAAAAGAAGGTAAGTGAAGTATTGGGAAACCAGATCTTCATTGGGAGAATTGGGGTCTATTCCTAATTATGCAAGAGGAAACATTGTACTCAGGATAGGAACTGTATATAGGAGGATATTTGTCCCACTAAAGGTCACCTCCACTTAGGCAAAGTCAAGATCAGGTGGACTAAGTTAAAGATACCATCTTTACCACTTTTGCATGGAAATTTAAGAGCCAGGGCTTTGCTGGCTGAGGACTAGACATTGCTTTTCTTTTTCTTTCTTTTTACAGAACTCGGGGACTGAACCCAGGATCTTGTGCATACTAGGCAAGCTCTCTATCACTGAACTACATCCCCTAAATCCTTTTTCTTTTTTTCAAAAAATATTTATAGCTGTAGATAGACCCAATACCTTCATTTTATTTATATATTTTTATGTGGTGCTGAGGATTGAATTCAGTGCCTCACATGTGCTAGTGCTCTACCACTGAGCCTCCTTTTTGTTCATTTTTTATTTTTTGGTTCTGGGGATTGAACTCAGGGACACTCAATCACTAAGCCACATCCCCAGGCCTATTTTGTATTAGAGACAGGGTCTTAGCGCCTCACTTTGCTGAGGCTGGCTTTGAACTCACAATCCTCCCAATCTCAGCCTCCCAAGCTACTGGGATTACGGGCATGTGCTACCACACCTGGCCCCTCATGTTATTTCTTGAGACAAGGTCTCACTAAATTGCTAAAACTGGCCTCAAACTTTTAATCCTCCTGCCTCAGCCTCCTGAGTTGCTGGGATTACAGGTATGTGCTACCACTTCCTAGCTTAGAAATTATATTTCTGATACTAATAGGCATTGTACTGTCAAGAAATATTAAAAGAAGACAAGAAAAGATAAAGTGATACAGATAAGGAAGAGAGACTTTTACAGCAGAATTTGAGATAACCTTGTTTAAAAGTTTCCTTAGCTTTCTTGCCATGCAAGAGCTACATAAGTACAACATAAACCCATAAAGAAAAAGTGAGCACAGAACTGCAGTCTCTCTACCAGTCTCTAACTTGGACTTTTGAGGATTTTGTTTTCTCCAGCAGAGTAGCTCTATACTTAGTAAGGATAAAAACCCATTTTTAAGCAAGTGAAGACACCCTATAAGTGTTAAAGTGGTGATGTATGTAAATAGTGTTTTAGAAAGCCTCAGGATAATAGATGGTTCTGGAATAGCTTAGTTCAGTAATTCCAACTTTGATCCCCTAGGGTTGTTTCAACGTCTGGACCTTCTCTCATTCTCTCCACCCAACTCCACCCTCCCAGTCCAGCAAAGCTCTAGATAAGAAGATAAGGCTCTGTTGACGGGGAGACTATACTTGAAATTGTTAGTCTTCCCTAGGAACCTCATACAGGGCAAGAAACAGCAGCCAACTAATCATCTCAGCCCTGTAGGGTCTCCTAGCTGCCTCTCAAAGTCTGCTGTCCCTTTAAATGAAGGAGCAGAGCCTTCTAAGTCATCTGGACTTCTTCCAAATCTGTCATCTTATGAGACTCAAGGTTCATCTCCCCATTTTATTTCTTGGGTGCAGAATCCCGAAGGTCTCTAACAAGTGAAGTTCTTTTGTTGAGAAAGAACTGGACAGGAAAGCTGACTTAAACATAAACACACGCTCATATGGCCCTTGACCTCTGATGGGGTTATATACTTGCACACACCTTGTAAATTGAAAATATCTTACACTGAAAGGTTATTTATTACATCTGATTACAACACAGTAGCTGTAGAGTCTGTGTGGTTGCCCTTCCTGCCGGTGCGGTTTACTTGGAGCTTCAGTTCACTGCCACTGCCCAGCATCAAGAAAGACTATTGTACTCCTTAAGGTCTCTGACGTTAACTTGAAAACTACTGCTAGAGAGCAGCTTGAACTCACAGCTCGTTGGTTATGCAAAACCTGTGTTCCAGTCATTCCACCCTCCTCTACCTAGCTTGTGAATGATTTAAAGAGTTCTGTATCCAGCCATGTTATTCCGCACCTGGGCAAGTATTCGGTACCTCACCTGTTTCAAATGCTCCCCAAGTGTTTTCCATTACCCAGGCAGCTTTCCAATCCCATGTTTATATTATTTTCCAGTCTACAAAATATCTTTACTTGTTCCCATTAGATCCTTAAAATTTCATTGTGAGACAGGCATGCATAATCTGTATTTTCCAGATGGAAAAGCAGAGGTCTACCTGACTAATTAAATGATAGAAGAGGGAGGGAAGCCAACCATATTTTGCGCGCGCTATGTTTCATTGCCTCCCAGACAGTATTGTTTCTGAGCTCAAACTTTTTGTAAGCTAGACAGTCTCTGGAGGAAAGCATTTGAATGTATTAATGTCCTTGGGATGTGCAAATAAAACCCCTAAGTGTCCAAAGTTAAGGCACAACGCCATGTGATGTGAATATAAAAATCATTTACATGCGTTCCTGGGCTAGATAAAAGACCTAACTCTTGCCTCACCCAGGAAGGAGGTCCTGCGCCTGGAGTGGTATCGCTTCGCTGGGCCTGTTTCTCTCTCTGTGAAGGGCTGCATTTATAGTCTAAATTGGATGGTGCGGGTCTCTCCCGCTCCCTCGCCAAGTTTCAGCCGGGTCTCGCTGAAGTCAGTGGGTCACGTGACAAAGCCCAGGCGGGAGCCCAGCAGCTCTCGCAAATGCCGGCACCTCGTGCAAAACCCGTGCGGAGCGGCGCGGGCCCTGAGCCGGTTGCCAGGGAGGCGCCGGCCTCTCATGAGGCGGGGAGCCAGGGCCCGCGCCCCTAGGGGCCTGAGGGAGTTTACCAACCGTGCGAGAGTTCGCGTCTGTCCACCACTTAGAGGCACCGATGACGCATGCGCGGCCCCGCCCCGCTGACACATACAAACACACACACCACCCCTCCCGCTGGCTGCAAAACCTGTGCGTGCGCCTCATTAACACAGTTCAAGGGCACTGGAGATTAAGGCACTGGAGATTAGGATGGGCTTTACACGCAGACCAGACCCGAGAGTGAAGCCATCCCTGGAGATCATCTACACTGCTGGAGCAGGGGTTCTGAGGCTTGTTAGAAACCCAGATTTCTGCCCCCCCACCCCCAGGAGTCTAGGACCCAGGAATTTCCATTCTTCAATCACCACAGGTAATTCTGAGATAAGTAGTTCTCATTGGCTGGACTTACCCTTCTATTTCAAGAAATGCAGTGATTGGGACAGAAGTCAAGAACCGATGGACTCAAGATTGAACAGAGGCAATTATGTGTCGTGGCATAGCTTGATGCGGAACCCAGTTTTCTTGACGCATTCTCGTACTTCCAACTCCTTCCTCTTTCCCTCTTGCTGCATTTTCAGTGTCTAGTTTAATCAGCACCAGGCAGGCTGGCAGGCAGTCCATTCACATTGGTTGGGCTAACTAAAGACTGGAAATCTCTTTCCCAGAACACCAGACAACTCCAACAAACTCCTCTCCTAGCACTAATCCTCACTCAGCACTGCTTCGAGCTGCACAGGGTTTGGGGTACCCTGAAGAAAGTTATGCTTACCCCCAGCAAACAATGGCCTGTGTGGGTGTACAAACACACACCCATACACTCTTCTCTGTGTGCAGTCATGAAGGACTGTCCCACACAATCTGACAAGAATGTTAAATACTCCCATGTCTGAGTGTGTGGAGTTTGGAAGGGTCTGCCCAGTCCCTGTGTGTTGGATTCTGGCTCAAGTTTAGGCACGTTCAGTATCAGACAGTGGCCTCAGTCCAAGATGGCTGGATCTTGTGCACAGACAGCCACTTTCAATGGCCTTGGACAAGGAAACAAGACACTCCCTTGCATATCCTCATGAGAAGCATCTGGGAATAAACAGAACTGAGATCCCCCCACACACATTCACAACCCTGTTGGAGTCAGCAAGTTTCCTCCCCAGGACAAAACCTGGAAGACAATGCTTGCCTGTGGGGGTAGAGAGGAGGGGGTTGGGGTTGTAGGGCCCTATTTGTTTTCAGAATCCCCCATCCTTTTAGAGGGAGAGCAGCTAACAATTCTTCTGAGAATGCGGACAATTCCACTCTCTGCAATAGTCCTCAGAAGTGTTCTGAAGAATGAAGTTGGTTGCTCTCTAAGCCACTCCAACACTCTGTCCAGAACTGTGTCATCTTCTGTCCCTCTCAAACCCCTGTCCCTCATTATCTTTCCCGTCCCAGTCTGGCTCATCTCAAAACCTCAAGGCTTTCCGAGAAAGCCAGGAACACAGCTGAGTTCCAATCTCCCCGGGGAGTTCCAACGCTCCCTCCTGGCTCCAGATGTAAAGGAACAGCTGTGGAGGTGGCAGGAGGCCCAGTTGGCAGTGGAGTAGGGACTGGGAAGATGGAGAACAAAAGCCAGAGATACAGGCAAACGGCAGGGCTGTTAGAATTCTAGGGACTTGGGAAAGAAACTGTCTCATCCCCTGGCCAGGAGACTGGCTGCCAGGCCTTGCCAGATTCCTCTGGTGCTGCCCTCCAATTCTGGCAGCCTGTGCCACTGGCAGGGCCTTCCATAAACTCTGTTTTATGATTCCCACTTAATCTGAGAAGGGAAAATTGGCTTGCTTTGTCTGACCCCACCCCTGTCCTTAAAACATGCACTTCCCAGCATGAGCTTTTGGTAATTGAAGAATGGTGAGGGAGAGAGGAGACAGGAAAGGATTCTACCCCTCCATCAGACATCCTCTTTCCCCCTCCTTCCCTCTTCCTGGGAAGTAAACCAGGATGCTGAATGCAGGCTGGGTGTCCACAGCAAGGCCACTCCAGGTACCACTTGCTGTCCTGCTGTGCCTGGTGATACTGTGCAACTGGGCACAGGGTATAGTCTCAGTAATAATTATTCCTCAAATGGCAATGTCCTGCTCTGGGTGCACTGTCACACCCCCATCTGTGTCCTCCCCAATCTGAAAGGACACAGGGTCTCACACCTGCTTCCGTTTTAGGAAAAATATTTTAATGGTAGATTTGAAACCTCTTTTTCTGAGGTCCCCTTCTTGGTAGAACCCCTTCACCCATGCTTTTCCCAGTCCAGCTGGGAAGTAACAGCTCCTCTCTGGAGGACACCCAACCACTCCTGGTGACTCGCCCTCCTGGGAGGCCAGCTCTGGGTCTAGGCTTTGGTGGGCCCATCACAAGTAAGTTTTTATAAAAAGTGGGCAGAACACTGTACTGTGCCCCTTTTCTGGATGCCATGGGACCAGCCCACAGCACTTTCCTACCCCTTAATTAAATAGCCCATTAAATAATCTCTTGGTGCTAGCAGAGGGGGTACTCAGCAACAAGTACCCTGGCTTGGCCGGGTCCCTGTGGTCCCAGTGCCTATACCATGACTGGATCTGGAACCCCTCAGGTAGCCAGGGGCATGGCCTCATCTCAGATTGGGCCAGTTCCAAGACCCCCCTCCCCAAACAGGAGAGAGTGAGTTCAAGGGGGTTGTGCTGGCACCAGGCATCCCTGCAACCATGGACAGGGGTCCCTCAGGCAGTGGAGTAGGCAACCCTCAAGGGTTACAGCTCTGGCCTAAGTCAGAAGTACGTGAGGTTCTTCACAGCTCCAATCTCCAGCATCCGCTTGATGGCCAGGGCCTCTTGGGACACGTTGTGGCCTGACCCCTGTGGAGACAGCCAAGGAAGTATATTGAGGGGCTCCCAGGGACCTCCCTGTCCTTCCCCATGGCCCCACACCTCTTGGGAGGTCTTTCCCTGTGTTGGCTCTTGGAAGGAAGGCAGATACACATGGCCAAATACAGAAGATCCCAGCCAGGGGTTCAGAGCTCTGACTCTGACTGACCTCATAGTGAGGCACCTCTGGGTGCCTTCACCTCTCTCTCACCCAATGTCTCTCTGTAGTCTGGTCCCCAGACCCATCTGAGCCACGGAACTCCCAAGCAGGGCCACTTACCGCCATGGACTTGAGTGTGATCTGCTCATAGTAGTGAATGGTCTGCTTCTTATTGTAGGCATCTGGGTAGCCAAAGCCTGCAATGTGCACTGAGTCGCAGAGGTGAAGGGCCAGGGTGATGGCCAACAGACCTGTGGTTGGTTTCTGAGGTACAAGACAGGGGAGGCATCAGAGGGTGTCCTGCTCCTCCCCTTTCTTCTGTGTCAGTGCTCTGATGGAATTTTTGGAGTCATGGACATGTGCTTCTTCTGCACTAATAGAACACCTCCTAGTCAGCTGAGCACTGGAATGGGGCTAGTGCAGATAAAGAAGCAGATATTTTTTTCTATGAAATTTTAATTCATTAATTTTTTTTGTGGTATTGGTACTGATGAATGAACCCAGGGGCACTTTACTAATGAGCTACATCTCCAGCCCTTTTATTTATTGAGAAAAGATCTCACTAAGTTGCTGAGACCGGCCTCCTGCCACAGCCTCTCAACTCTCTGAGATTACAAGTATGTGCTGCCCCCTAGCTCATGCATTCTAGTTGGAGCAGTCTACTGAGCTATACCCTTAGCCCAAGTTAACTAAACTTTAAATTTAAGCAGCCACATGTCGCAAGTGGCTACCATAATGGATCATACAGTTCCACATATCTGGGGGGAGGGGTTGGTCCTTGAAGGAAGACAATGGGAATCAGGATGACAATAATGGCAATCGTCATAACACTATTGCTTTTTGAGTACTTACTATGTGCCAGACACTATGTTAAGTGTTAACATTGTATGTAATACATCATCTCAACTAGTCCTCCCCAAAACACTTGCTATTTTAGTATTAGCTCCATTTTATGAAAGAAAAACTAAGGCTTACAACTATTAAGCAACTCAGTGAAAAGGAGGAAGGGATCTGCTATGTGACCCTTCATGGGATGGGCTCTCCCCTTCTATAAAGTGGGGATATTAATACCTTTCCTATCCAACTTTTGGACCACTATAGGACCTCACTTCCTCTACCTCTAATTCATCCACAGGGATGGGCAACCTGATGTTCAGACTTCACACGACTTGCCTTCCTCAGCTCCAGCAACCTATTTTGCAGAGCATCTCAGCTGCCCACTCCATTTGGGAACTACCTTCTGATGTGTCAGCCCTGAATGACAGTTTTCCCAGTTTTTCCTCCAGCATCCCTTTCGAGCTCTTGGTCTTCTCATTTCTGTCCCCTGCCTCGACTCTTTTTCACCCTTGTTGCTTTAACCGCCCCCTGCGGTCTCTCATCCAGTTTGAGCCCTGCAGAACCATACTGCCATCTCCTAGTTAATTCTGCCTGGACATGGGTTCCTCAAACTCACCATGCTCTTCTTCTTTCCTGCATTCTCTGAACTAATTAAATATATTACCATCCATCCACTTGTCCAAATTGGAAACCAAGAACTGGTCATATACCTTTCAACCCCAGAATCCTAGGAGGATCCCTATTGAATCTCACTTTTGTATAATCTACTCCCCTCAAAGATAGATGAAAATTGCCTACGGGATAAATACATTATGCTTCATTATGTTACTTTACATGGCAGAGTTGGCCAGAAGAGAGGAGATGATCCTGATGGGATGACCTAATTACCTAAACCTTTAAATCTGGGTGTTGAGGTCAGAGATGAAAGAAGTCAGAGATCTGAAGCACAAGAAGGATTTATCCTGCTTGAAGTCACTGGCTTGATGATTCTTGCCATATGGATCCCTCACTTAGCTGACAGCCAGCAAGGACATGGGGACCTCAGTCCTGCAACCACTGGAACCCAATTCTCTCAATAGCAAGAATGATTTTTCCCCAAAAGCCTCCAGACAAGAACTCAGTTCTTGTGACCAGTCTTGTGACACCCTAAAAACAGCCTACAGGAATATGACCTAATATGTGAGTATTATTTTAGGCCACTAAGCTCATGGTAAATCAGTTAGGCAGCAAGGAAAAAATCAAGACAATGTCAAGTCTGTGTCCAATCCTTGCTTTTCCTTTCCCACTGCTAGGAGCTGGATTCAGTTACTTACCTCCTTGTACCTCTCTCTCTAGCCTTCACTCTAGTCTATGTTCCCATGGCATACAATGTTTCTTGCTGCCCCTCAATTCCACTTGCACTGAAACAACTTAGTGGCTGGAGGAGAAGTTTGGTATTGCCAAATGGAAGGATTTTCCCCAATTCCCTGCTTGTTGGACCCCATGATCCCTCCAGGCCAACCCCAGTACTACTTCTTGTGGGGAGTCCCCCAGACTGCCCGCAGAAGAAGTGTGCCCCTTTTCTGAGTCCCACTGCCTTTGCAACATTTTATCACTCATAGTGCAACCTGGAGGCTCATTCTGCTACAATGCCTCTCCTTAGGACAAGGAGCACATCTCTCTCACAAGAATACAGGCCTGGAGCCTGGCACTGAGCAATCACACAAGTAGACATTCAACACATGACACTGAGTAACAGTAGATATTCAGTCAAGAATAAAATGATTAGCCAGGCATGATGACATATGCCTGTAATTCCAGCAACTCAGGGGAAGTGAAGCAGGAGAATCACAAGTTCGAGATCAACCTGGGCAACTCAGCAGGACTCTGTCTCAAAATGAAAAAGGCTGGGGATGTAGCTCAGCAGTAGAGCACCCTGGGTTCAATTCCTAATACCAGAAAAGGGCGGGGGGCATTTATTCAAAAGTTGGAAAATATTTACTGAGGAAGCACTGCATTCCAATTTCCATGATAGGCATTTTACGTAATTAATCATTTCTTAAATTCTATAATGGTCTTAAAAGTCAGAATGAGTATTATCCCCATCATACAGACAAGAAAACGGAGGGACCAAGTGGTAGAACTGCCCAGTGCTATACAGTAAGAGGTACAGCTCAGAATCCTGTCTATGACAGTTGGTTTTGCTCCCTCCAACATCCCGCACAGCACCCTGAGGGGGTATAAGATATGTGGATAAGTTCTTGGGAAACTACAAAGTGGATTACAACCTACCAGCTAAAGACCTCAGGGCACTAAGAGCTGAAATCAAAACTGTGACTCACAAAACTATACCACGACTTCTGTGACATAACATAGCAAACCATGACATGCAAGGCAGACTGCTAAAGCTCAGACTCTCTTAATTCAATCAGACCAATATGTTCCAAGATAAGATCACAGACTAAGCATCTGACAACTCTACACAGGCTTAAGCTGTTCCAAAGATAGAACCAGAGACTCTTCCAGCAGCTCCCAGTTTACAAATTCTGACCAGTGCCTGCCAAAACCACCCTCTAACTCCAGCCCCCAAATCCAACACATACCTCTTGCTCATTTCCCCTGTGGAGATGCCCCACAATTCCCCAAGGCATGAACTCTCCCTGCCACGACAGGCTAATAAATCTACCTCTAATTACAGGTCTGTTCCTGAAGGTCAAGTGTAAGTTGCTCTCTCTTATTATTCTCCCTGCTCCCACATCCCTCTGTGTCACCTCCCCACCCCCTCCACAGGACCCCAACCCTCAGGCCTGGGCTTCTTGTCACCAGCCCATCGTCACCTGTTTAATCTTTCGCGGCTGTTGCATTGGCAGGCTCAACAGTTTGTCAGCTGCAATCTCCATGAAGAAGGGATTGAGAATCCGAATCTGTTTGGGGTTGACGTCCCAGATGAGGGGGGGTTGTTTCCAGAAACCTTTTCGCACCTAGGGGGATGGGGTTGGAAGGGAGAGACATGAGAGTGGATGAACACCTGTTTTCTCCATTCCAACTCAGTCTGTGGTCATCAGCATGGGGTCCAAGTGTAGGCAGAAGGCCTTGGGAGTGCAGGTAAAAGGGAAGGGAGGTGGCCTGTGCCAGAGATGGAGGGAGACAGGCGAAAAGTGGGGTACCACCTCAGGGAGGCCAGGTGACAAGGTATGTAGAGTATGGGGTCCAACAACCTAAATATTCAAACAGGAAGAAGGGGCCTCAGCTTTAGGCTGTCTAAACACTTGGCAAAAATGCCAGATGGGATAGTTCAGGCTTCAACCAGATGGCAAGGTGAGGGAGTAGGCTCGTTCTGGGGACCATCTGGAAGGGCTCACAGCTTGTTTGTTCTGGCCTGCTCCTCGCTGCCTGGAGGTGACTGCTGGAGGGCGCCTCTGCCCCCATGTTTCACATAGGCAGACACATTCTGGTAGCTTTCCTGTACCAGACTCCTCAAGTGTGGGAGGGCCTTTGGCTGCCACTGCCTGACTCCTACAGGTTTTTGAGCCAGGCTACTGGGTAGTTTATCGGAAGCCCTGCAGGACACTGCCCTTGGCAGGAAGCCTAAGGCACTGACCTCTGAGAGCCTGGTTCATGCTGTCCAATCACCAGACCTTTAGGGCTGCAGGACAGGAATTGTGGAGCGTGAGATCCTAACTTGGACAGAGTCCCCATGGGCCCATCCCCCATTTACCCGCTTCTTATCACTCAGGATGGTCTCAATCCAGTGGAAATCCATCGCCTTGAAAGCTACTAGAACCAGGAGTGTGTCTGGGTTGTTCTCCACTTTGGGGTCAAAGTGGGCAGATTCAGGGTAAAAGAGACGCATGGTGGTCTTGGAGCCCACATCTCCCTCGTAGCCAGCCACTGGGGCATTGTTCAATCTAGGGCAGGGGAAAGGAAGCCTGTTATTAGAGCCTCCCTTTCCCCACCTGTCTACAGTCCCCTGCTTGGGATACCCAGCGTCCCAATAGAATTTGGAAGGGACAGTCATACACACCTGATGACCACATCATACTTGTTGATGGCATCTCCCAGGGAGCTGTTCCGTAGTCGATGCCCATTGCCCACCACGACACAGCGGCGACACTTGAGACTGCATGGGAAGAGGAGTCATCAAACCCAGGAGTCCTTGCTCTACTTAACTCTCACAGCTCTGGATCTGTCTGGGGCTCATCTCAGGAGCACTTCCTCCACTCTCTGCAGCCCCTGGTCCCCATGGAGCAGGCATCACCAAGTAGCCCTGCTTATTATCATGATGACTTTGTAATTCTGGGCCTTAAAGGGAGAGGTAACTACCTTGAGCAGAACATGGCAGAGAGGCAAGGAGGTAAGATGCAATGGGACCAATGCAGAGCTCCCTTGCAGGGAGCCTAGTCCTGCCTATTGCCATGGAAATACCCTCAGCATCCTCTGGCACCTGGATGCCCAGGCTAGGTTACTGTGGGGGTTGGCATACCTATATCCCCGAGAGATAAGCAGGCTAGGAAGGAGGATCAAATTTGCCACAGGGAACACTCAACAGGAGGCTCACTGGGATGGTGCTGAGCCATGACAATTTCACACTGGGGCAGGAAAGAGGAAGAGACACCCAGTCTTGAATAGGAGGAGTTATCTTCTTACCTCTGGATGCTCTCAGGTATGGAGTAGCTGGTGATGGCTAGCACCCGGAGGAGCAGGTCCTCTACAAACAGAACAAATGGAAAGGAATGAGACAGCAGTCACCAGCATCCTGAAGGCTGCCTGCCCTGCTCCATTCCTTAGAGCGCTGATCCTTCTTCCACCTTGATCCTGATGCCTGGGCCCAGCTTAGAACTTAGGCACAGAGAGAGTGGTTGGCAAAGAACAGGCATCAGTGTGGCCAACATGATCCACTATATCTGCTAAGCTGGGCAGAAACTTACCACTTCCCTTGGTCCCATAGGGCAGCTCATAGGCAGATGGCGTCTTGACCCAGAAATAATCTTTAAGCTGCAGGAAGATGGGCTGATCTCGGGAGTGGCTGCATGGGGTGGAGATGAAAAGGGGATTAATTTAGATGCCAGGGCAGGGTCAGGTCTCTGACTAATATTACATGGTCTTTCCTTTACCCTCTGGCTTTGCCTAACTTGTGTCCACCAGCACAGCCCCCTCCCTCCAGCCAGCCAACATTGAGGCTGAAGCCCTCAATTTTGGCGCTCCCCATACCTTGTCCTCTCCCCTCAGCCTCACGTACTTACTTGCCAAAGATCTTAGAGGCCTTCCTTTCTGCCTCACCCTGGAAGCATGGCTCCTTCTTCTCTGGGATGGGAAAATAAAAACTGGAGACAGAGAGGAGAAGGGAGCCCCAGTCAGATCTGGGGCCCCATGGTCAGGGTTCCAGGTAGCCCCTACCTCCCCCATGGCACACAAGTCTCAAAGCCCTGAGATGTGACTTGCAGGGTAGAAACTTTTTAGCTCAAGTCCTTTTTTTGCAGTGCTGGGGATCAAAGCCAGGGTCTTAAGCATGCTAGATAAGCACTCTACCTCTGAACTACATCCCTAGCCCCTCAACTCACATTCTAGTTTGAACTCTAATCACTAAGGATCCAACTCTTCCTGCCCCTGCACTCCCTTTGGGGATCAGGGGAATCATCCAGATCCTACCCACAGCAATGGTCACCCACCACAATGGCAACCCACCCTCAATGGAAGGACTCTGTCCTAGTAGTTGGAGAGGAAGAGTCATGACCTGGCTCTCAGAACCCTCCTGCCCTGCTAACCCTGCCCTGAATGCCCCATCCCTGAGAAGAACCAATGAAAGGACATAAAGATGCACTCACAGCTCAATGTACTTGTCTTCTCGGGAGATGGAATACCACACCATGACAACCAGGACCAGAGCCAACATGGCCAGGAGCTTCCAGCCTGCAGGGCACATGCACAGAGGAGCTAGAGGCAGAAACAGGCAGGTACAGCCCATTCTTCTTACCTGCCCCATTCTGGGCCCCTCCAACCCCCAGCTTGAGCAGACCCAGTCTCTGGCCCTCTCCTGGCCCTAGCTCAGGGCTGGGATCTGAATGTTTCTAGTGTTCTTTAGGATGAAGAGAGGGTCCCTGGTTCCCAGTCTGACCCTCCACCACCCCCAGGGGGTGCCAGATGCTGCAGAGATTGGCTTCTGGAGGCCCATCCTTCAGTGAGGGGGAGCCCCTGGACAACACTCACGGGACTTGCTGATCATGTTTCTCAGCAGGTAGCAAGGTTCCTGGGGAGAACTGTCATCCCGGCTGCCTCGAGCCACCTAGGAGGTAGGAGTCCCAGGTGTCTGTCTAGTTGGCTCCACAAACACTCCTGCTTAGACATTAGAGCAGGACACAGCCACAGCCCACCCCTTTTCTCCTCCTAAAAGCACAAAGCCACTCCCTGGGCAGCATTGCCAGAGCCACTGTCTCACTCTCAACATCCTCTTAACCCCTCCAAGGGCAGCATCAGGGATTCATATGTGGCCCTGCCACAAAAGGGAAACTGAAGCCCAGTCCTCAAAGTTTAGGTCCCAAGCCAGAATGGGCTTCTCCACCCTGTCTGGTGTGGTATCTGTATTTTGATTTTGACCTAGTAAGAATGAGCTTGAGGGGAGGGAGAGGTGCATTTTGGTTTTGTTCTTGGCATACTAGGGATCAAATCTCAGGGCCTCACTCATGCAAGTGTTCTACCACTGAACTACATCCCCAAGCCTCTCCACCCACTTTTTCTTTTTTGAGATGGGGGTCTCATTATATTCCCCAGGATGGTCAGGAACTCCTGGGCTCAAGCGATCCTCCTGCCTCAGCATTCTAAGTAGCTAGGACCACAGGTGCACACTGTCATGCTTGGTTCCACTCACCCTTTTGGGTTCTTGGGGGTAGAAAACCTGGGTGCTCTACCACTGAGCTACATGCCCAGCCCCTTTTTTGTTTTATTTTGAGACATTGTCTCATTAAGTTGCCCAGGCTAGTCTTGAACTTGTTGTCCTTCTGCCTTAGCCTCCCACATAGCTGGGATTATAGGCATGTGCCATGGCTCCTGGCTCCACCCACATTTGACACAAAAATTAAGCTAACTGTACCAGGGATGGATTCATATTTTATCTATTCTCCACCATCTAAGGCTCCCCTTGCTCTAGCCACCACCTCCCTCTCCTTATCTATCTCCCACAGCTCCTGCCAAGCAGGTGTGCTTGTGCCATAGACTGAGATGAGGGTGGGGCTAGGAGGGACCCCATGGGCCCCCCCTTCTGGGCCTTCTTGACTCTGACCCCAGGCAAACAGTGCCTGAGTCTCACCCCACATCCTGTAGGGTGAACTCAGTGAGAACGGGTGATGAAATGGGGAGACAGAAAATGGGGAGCCATGAGGGAGTAGTTAGTCAATGAGGAGTCTAGAGAGACTTCCAGCAAGGTAAGGGCAAAGGACTGGGTGAATCCAGAAGGGGTAAACTGCCTTGGACTCAAACTTAGTGACTCAGTCATGCTGCTAAGTCACTGCATAACAAATATCTATGCCTTCCATAGCCACAGGAAGAAGCACAGTGTCCGCCTCTTCCATCACGCACCCCCCCACACACATTCCAGGGCCCTGCCCTGCAGACCCACCCTGGTCACCTTGGGTGGGGACTGGGACTGTGATTTTATAAGAGCTCAGGTGACTGAGAATGAACCAGGAAAGGGAAGAAAGGACTAGTGTGTGACAAATGAAAAGTCTTTGATTATTTCTTAGGGATAGGGAGGGACAAGGCCTGGTCTTTGTTACACATCACAGATTAGATGATCCTGAATGCTGTTCTGTTATGGAGCAAATTCCCTGTTCCCCAACAGGGTGTTCCTCTGGCTATACTCTGAGTCCACAGACACTGAAGAAAGGGTCTTCAGTGCAAGGGACAAAGCCAGGGAAGGACCACCACTGGACATCCTCAGTAGGGTTAGTAGCAACCATCGACAGATCCCAGAGGAATAGAGGATGGCCCTAGCTGGTTAAAAAAAAAAAAAAAGAAGTCGTCAAAGATTCTCCCATTCCTGGCCTCTCACGTTGTAGGTAAGCACTTTATCATCGAGCTATCCCTACAGTACTGAAAAGTTAGAGATTTGTAATCAGAAGTTCCCAGTTAAAGTCATTATTCTAGAAACTCCCCAGATAGCTCTGCCCACCCACAGCAACCTCCAAGCCATTCCCCACCACATGGCCTCTTCATCTCCTTCACAGCCTTCTTTTGATCTGTAGTTAGCTTAGTTATTTGTTTGTTTTCTGTCTCCCCTATTGAAATATAAGCTCTGCAAGGTTCAGAATAGGTCTGTTCTATTCCCAACTCCAGCCTCCAGCATGATGCCTGGCACAGAGTAGAATATACCAGAAAGCACAGAATGAATGCCAAGTTTGTGGATGATCACATCTCCTTCACTGACCCTCAGTTGTCAGGCTGGAAAGTCAGCCTAATAGATCCCTGTTGCTCAAAATACATTTATCAGATCAACAACACGGGTAACACAAAGACCCTTATTAGAAATGCAGAATTTTAGGCTTCCTGCAGACCTACAAAATATTTGATCATGATCCCACATTCAAGTCTGAGAACCACTGATTAGGGAGGATGTTTTCACAATGGCTGAACAGAATTTCCTGTGGTACTCAAAAAAAAAAAAAAAAAAGAAAAAGAAAGAAAAGTGTGTGTGGCGGGGCAGGTAATACAAATTCCATACCTAGAAATTCTCAGAGAGTTAGTCTGGTCTAGCCTGGAATTTGCTTACACACTAGGTGATTCTAATATACAGCCATGGTGGAGAACCACAGATTGGACAACCTTGAAAGCAGACTTTTCAAACTTTGATATGCACATTCTGATTCTTATTCAGAGAATGTGGATGAGGCCAGAGGATCTTTCCTCTGACCAGCTCCCTCGCCAGGCTCTGCTGCTTAGCTGGACCACACTAAGTTGCAAAGCTCTAGGTCAGAGTCCCTCCAGCTCTAATGTTTTTCAACTTTATCAACTGTACCATCTCCTACTCTTCTTGCTCTCCTGATCTTCGTTTTGTAACCTGGATTCACTCCCTCTCAGTGCATCTCTCTTTATATCAGTAAGCCACAACAATGGCTGCACAATGCAGTCAACGGAGGAGTTTTAAAATATCCAGATGTGGGCTGGGGATGTGGCTCAAGCAGTAGCGTGCTTGCCTGGTATGCGCGGGGCACTGGGTTCGATCCTCAGCACCACATAAAAATAAAATAAAGATGTTATATCCACCGAAAACTAAAAAATAAATATTAAAAAAATTCTCTCTCTCTCTCTCTCTCTCTCTTAAAAAAAAAAAAAAATCCAGATGCTCCACTCTCCAAGATTTTTATTTAATTAGTTAGGGGTCTAGACAATAGTAGTAAAAAGCAAAATAAATAAACAAAAAGAAACACTGCCTCTCTGGTTCTAATGTGCAGCCAGGATGAAAAATACTACACAGAGCATGTTCCAGGCTAACTAAAAGACAAATACTCAGCCTTGCTCTAAGCAACCTTGAGGGTAGAAACTGGGGATTGGAGACAAGTAGCCTGGACCAAACCCAAACAGCAAGGCAACTAGCCCTCCTTTGACCTCTTTCCCAATAAAGTTCTGCATCAGCATGTCTTGATTCAAAAATGGAGCCAGTGTTGTGCTAAGCAGACCAGCTACACTCAGGGTTGCACCACCCCCTCTCCTTGCTGGGCCAAGCCAAGAGGATTGCCCAGTGGCTTCAGGCATTCCAGAAGCACAGCTTCTTGAGCACACTGCTGCCCAGGGAGACTTGTAGCTTTTTCCCACCCACTGTCCCACATTGCTGACCCAGCTTCTCAAAAAGGCAGGAGAAAAGTCACAGTAAGATACCTGGGTAGAAAAGCTGGCATCTGATCCAACCATGTTCAAGGTACACCAGCCTCTAGGAATGAGCAGCTGCCAAGGAGACCAGCTCACCCAGTCTGCGAGGCAAAGCTGACCCAGGGCAGGAGGGCTATTTGCTCTCACAGCACTCTGCCAAGAACCAAGGTGTCCGTGGCTAAAGAGAACTAGGGGAATGGGGTGAAGAAATAAGGCCCACTGGGAGCAGGAACCATGGCTCATACTGCCCCCGGCACTGACTATGTAATGCACAGCAGGTACCCAGTGAACCGAGAGGAGCACAACCGGATATCCCCCAGGGCAGAGCATGATGCCAGGGTCCTGAGCCCCCAGATCCACCACAGGATCATGGTTTAATGTTCCAAAGAAGGGGGCTGGGGAAGACCAGTGGGGGCAAAAGCCCAGGGTTTACTTAATGTTGCCACTGAATCTCACTATCCCTCAGTGGTGGTGGTTGTAGTTTTTAGTACTGGGGATTGAACTAAGGGATACTTTACCACTGAGCTACAAAGCCCTTTTAAGTTTTTGTTTACCTATGTAGGTACAAGGGATGGAACTCAGAGGCGCTCCACCACTGCATTACATCCCCATCCCTTTTTATTTTATATATATATATTTAATTTTGAATAGGGTATTGCTAAGTTGCTGAGGTAGAGCCTCCCAAGTTGCTGGAATTATAAATGTATCCCTCACATATGGCTCACTGACCCTCAGTGACTCTACAACAAAAATTGGAATCACTTTCCTCCCTGCTCTTTCAATACTCTCCCACCACTTCTCTCTCCAAATTCCTTCCCTGATCCCTCCCCATCAGTTTCCCAGAACTGGTCCCAATCAGTGACTCCATCCCCCTTGGCCCTATATCTCCCACCTCTGCTTCCTCCTCTACTCTCTTTGACTTATAAACACATTCCAGATCCCTTCTTCCTAAAAAAGCAAAAGTCTGTCTCAGCCTCTAACCCCTCTTCCTGTTACCCCTGCTTCTCTCTCCCCCCTTCCCTCCATCCTTCACTCCCTCCATCATTTTTATGCTGAAATTGTTCTTGATGAGACCATTTGGTGGCTTCCCGCCTCCTACTTGACCTAGGGCAGGAGGGCTATTTGCTCCTGCAGACCCACAAAATCAGAACCCTGCAAAGGGTTATTAAAAAATTAAAATATTAAAAATAAAAAACTCAACTCCAGGAAAGGGTTATTTTTCAATCTCATCATACTGTGACCTTGTTCACTGTTGACCATGCCTCCTTCATGGCTTTCAGGTCAAGGCCCTCTCCAGGTTTTCCTGCTACCCCATCCTCTGGAACATTTTTCCCTGGCTCTGCTTCCTTTGCCCACACTTTTTATTTTGCCTCTCTCCCTCCCTCTATGTGTCTGTCTGTCTGTCTCTCTCTCTCTCTTTCATAC